TATACCGATATTATTAGGTCCTAACAGGAGGTTTTTATTCCGAGGTTTTTTCGGGGGTTTTTTTCCGGGATTCGATATTTTATTATATGAAATTAAAAATAATATTGACATTATAGGGGAAATGTGCCATGAATGGCTATGTTTTTGCCTTTTTGAAAAAAATTATTAAAAGAGGAAAAGATTTGTTTTGACTTTTAAAGAAAACATGGTACGTCTGATCAATTGCGAGAAAAATTTTTTTTGAGGAAGAATTATGAAATCTATTTTGCGGAAAAAGGTTTAGTTAATCCCCCCCCTCTTAAATACTTTATATAAATAATAACAAATTCAGTATCGTTTTGTAATATTTTTTAAAGAAAATACATGTTCGCATTTTTTAGGCGTGGCGATTAAGTGTGTGAACCCCGGGTCTTTTCCATAGGCTCGTGATCAGAGCTGGTTTAGTCAATTTTTAGACCCAAATCACGGGTCTGGGGGTTACACAACTAACCAATTAGTAAAACTTAATCTTTTTTTTTATTTAAATAGTTTTCAAATCATTTATTTATACGTGTAGATTTACAAATCAATCTCCTTACTTTCAAATTTAAATAGTTATGTAATTATAAAGTGTGCTCTCCTCCTCGCCTAATAAGATAAACGGGCGTAGGCTAAAAGTCACCTCGTTTTAACAAAAAAGTTCGAAAATAACGGTTATGACTATTGTCACTTTCTATGGTACATCTTCACTGAAATTTCAATTTAACATGTTTACAATATATATTTTTACCTATTTGCTTTAAAAAAATTCAAAAAACTTTATAAATAACGATTATGACAATTATCACTTATCTAGGGGAAATCTTCACTGAAATTTTAATTTAACATATTTACAATCTATATTTTTACCCATTAGCGTCAAAAATAAACTAATATGTTTTAAAATACAGATTATGATATTTGTCATTTTTACAAAGAAACATCATCATTGAATTAATAATTTAACATATTTATAATATAAATTATATTTTTACCCTTTTGTTCCAAAAATTTCAAAAATGTTAAAAAATATCATGACAATTGTCACATTAAAATATTATAAGACGATCATGTAAAATAACATAAAAATTTTATACATGTAAAATAACATAAAAATTTTATATAAATATTTATAAATTATTTAAACTAGTTCTTTTAATATACTAAAAAAATTTTTACAAAAATGATAAAAAAAAACTAAAAGATTAATAATTCACAAAAAAATTAATTAAAAAAGAAGATTTTAAATTCTTATCAATTCAAATTTTGCTTAAAATTTTTGCATGAAAACCACAAATTAATTGTAACAAAAATAATATTATACACCTATTCGAAATATTCGTCCTCTAGTCGACTTAAGTTCATGACTCAAGTGGAAAACTCATGTTCTCGACTCAAGTCGACTTAATTTAATGACTCTGTTGACTGGAGTTCACGACTCGAGTCGACTTGAGTTTACGACTCGAGTTCACGACTTCAGTCAGTCGACTAATTCGACTAACGACCCTGAGTCAGAATCGGGTGAACTCGACTTTTTAACAACACTACAACCATATTTATTTTTTACCCCCCTCCCAAGTCAAACTTATATACACCATATTTAGGTTGAACTAGACTTATTTGATACCAATCCATCATATCAATATTTGGTGCCGATAATAATCCTAACCTACGTAGTAATTGCCATAGAGAGGTGGCGTTTGGTTTGCTAATTATTCAATAGTTCTAATTAGCTATCGATTGATGCCTCTAATAATCATATATTTATATACCTTATTAAGGTCAAGAAAAAACAACTTAAAATATATTGGTTGTGCTTGTGATTTGTGCTCATTGCTAGTTTAGTCGATTCTTAGACTTAAGTTACGGATCTGGGTTTTACACAATTAACCAATTATAATCAATTGAGTTTCATAAAATTTAATAAACTATTTTTTGAGAAGAGTCGATTTTTTTTACTAAAAACTCAACTTGACGTAGTTAAGCCGACTCGGCTGAGTCGTTTAACAACACTAGCAAATAGTGAGGAAGAATTGAGGGATAAAACTAGTAAATGGAAAATGGCTATGGAAGCAAAGGGTCTGAAAATGAATGCCGCAAAGACAAAGGTGATGATTGGTGGGGAAAATCGAAAGATGGATGAATCCGGTAAGTCACCTTGTGGTATATGTTGGAAAGGAGTTGCAAGCGATTCAATTCAATGCACCAGATGCCCGAAATGGGTACATAATAGATGTAACGGGAAAAGGGAAGTTTGATGTTAGAGAAAAGAGATGAGAATGATTAGATGGATGTGTGGGGTATCTCTGAGAGAGAGAGAAACTAGCAAGGAATTGCGAGCAAGATTGGGTATAGAAATTATTAGAGTGATAATGCGACGATATAGACTAAGATGGTTTGGGCATGTAGAACGTATGCCAAAAGATGACTGGGTAAAAAGATGCACCTTCATGGAAGTAGGAGGATCAAAACATAGAGGAAGGCTGACCTGGACAAATGTGATAGCGACGGATATGAAAAGCATGAATCTTACAAATATTGATTCTCAGGACCGCTAAAAATTGAAAAGAAAAATCAGAGGGAAAACTGGCCTACCTGAATAAACATGGAAATCGCCATAAAACGGAGAAGAAAATAAATCATTACATTATTATAAGATTTTAAAATAATATCCCTTTTTGTTACTGGTATTTTTAAACGGACGTCTTTTATTCAAAATGGAGACTGCCGATCCTTTGTCAATTAAAAAATTAATATATATTTTATCTATCCATCTCAAATTTTTTTTGCGACTCCTCTAAAAAACCCCAATCCTTAAAACTTTCTCGCTCCTTTTCTGGGACATCTATCGTTTGAACATATTCTTTCTTACCACTATTTTTTCTGCATATTTTCTCTAAATGTCTTTTTATTTTACAATTATGGTAAATTGCATTCAAATTGGTAAGCGGAAAATAATTCCTCGGAAAAAAAATCCCCATTAATAATTCTTAGAAAATAATTCTCCGGAATTGATTTTCTTAATATTTTTAAATATATTATTTGAGGATTTTTATTCCATGGATATATTTATAGGGAATTTTTTCTCCTAATTTATTAATTTTGTAATTTTTAATATATTATAAAAAGGAGATTTATTTCCCGGGGAATTATTTTCCTAGATTCACTTGTCATACTGCTCTCTTGTAACTGTTTTTGCAATTTTATTTATCTCCTTTCCTGCATATAATTTTCCTACGAAATCATTTCCGTTATCTCCATTGAAATCGCGATTTAAACAACCCTTTCCCATGTCAAGTCTGGAGTGTTGATTAATTTCATTATATTTTTTCATTCGTAATTTCCGACACTAATTTATCCCGCAATACTGCATTATATATATCTCTTTAAAATCACACTTATTTGTTTTTATCTTTAATTTATTTATATATTCTGTAATCTTTCTCCCTTTTCATGTTCTATTTTGGAAAAATAATATCTAGCATAAAATTAGTTTTTTTCGAGTAATATTTTTTTTAAATTTAATTATATCATCATATGATATTTCATCTAACATCTTCAGTAAAACACAAAGTAAATAATTTTGAATAAACCTCTAATCCAATATTTGCTAATAAAAACGATTTGTTGTCTCCTATTTTGGCGATTTTAAAAATGAATTCCATCTTTGATAAATAAACTTCTATTCGCACTCCTTTATATTAGATTTCTCCATTTGAAACTGCGCCAACGACATATTTGACTCTTATTGAACAATTTATATTTTTAACTGCTTTCATATATTTTGTACTGTTTATATATATTTTACAAATAATACATCAATTAATCATCATAGAGAATATAATTAATCATATTACAGTTGCCTTTAAGGTAATGGATTATATTACAATAATAAACTAGACTGACAATTGTATGATTAAAATATGAAATTTGGGACGGGACTAATTGAATGCAAGTTTAATTTACTTAATAATATAAAGTAGGTGGGGATTGGATCAATGAAAGTGATTCGATCATAAAAAATTAAATTTAGAAACGTAAAGCTAAATTTTATTTTTTGATTCAAGCTCCGACTAAATCTTATTCCGATGACTCTACTTTATATTATCAAATAAATAAAAACAGGGTTCATCCTTTTTTAAAGCTTTGATTGTCAGTTTCATGTTATAATATTACATGTGATTAATATTATCATTACAGAATCTAAATTCCTTGATTTCCATTTACTTTATGCCTTAAAATCAATTTTTTAGGCATTATTTTAAGGAAAACATATATTAATAGTTAATCGGGATTAAACTCCGATTCCACCATATAAATCTGTTTATTCATACCTAGGCCACCGTCCTTCTTGACGTGCTATATTCTTTGTTATCCCTGTTATAAATCAGTTTGCTTTACCAATTCATTATCAATATCTTGTATTCGCTTAATCAATCATATCACCATATATTTAATGATTTTTAAAATATATTGCACAGGTCCAAATTTGTCTATCATAGCAAAAAAATTTCTAATTGAATTTATAAATAGAATTCATTAGTTAAACTTTATTTTAATTTAAAAAATTAGTTATTTAACACTTAAAAATATTTGATGTGACACTCTAACTATTAGTATGCGTTTTTTTTAAGATAATGAAATAAATTTAAAAGGCGCTCAACATATTATTGTTGCAGGTTTAATTTTATTTAGCACGTTTTTTAAATTAATATGAGAGATGTATCGCAGCATATTTAGAATACCTACTCTATAAATTTCAGACTAATTTTGTAAGATATTACTTTCCTGAGCAATACTAATGTTGTCCAAATCGATTTAACCGATTTTTTTTTAAAAATTTTTTGATTTATCCGTTTTATAAAAATTGGCGAAATCGAGTTTATTTTCCTATTGAGCACATTGCCGATAAAAGTTATACTCATTAAAATTGTATTTTATTTACGAAATATTTTTTAAAATTTGTTACTTCACTTATTTAGATTTATATTTTTGCTCATCGGTCCCATTGGATACGTTGACAGGTACCACGAAATTGGGCGATGTCTGGCTACTTTGATGTCGGATGAAGTATTCTTAAATTATATGTAAAACAATTGCAAAAGAGTGAAAGAAAGAGAGATAGAAAAGAAAAAGAAAAACGAAAGGGGATATAATAATAATTAATTCATTTTGAATAACGTTTTATTCAATGGTGCTTAAAATTAATCTAGGTGTTCCACGACGTAGCTTACAAGGCCAAGAATATCCAAGATATTTTGGCGGGGGTAGACGAATTTTTAGACCAAGTCATAGTCCTTCCTCCAGGAGAGTGGGATCCTACCATAAGAATACAACCACCTTTGAATATCCCATCCCAGGTTTTATTCCTCTTTTTTAAATCTAATTCATGCTATAATTTATTTTCCTTTATCTCCAGAAAAAATAATATATTTCAAATAATGAAAAATTTTTATTTATAACAAAGTACATATTCTTGTGTTAATTAGAAATCTATTTTTCACTTAATTATAGGCCCCCACTCCTCATAGAAATACAAAATAAGCAATCTATTATTATTTCGGCTGCACAAAGACAGTCAACCCTAGGGCTAAATTAATTCCTTCAAATGTTTGAAAGAAAAATAATTACAGCAATGCATCCTTTTCTATGTATTACTAGTTAATTTTTAAGCATATCGTTGAATTGATGTGCTCTAATTTTAAAATTTTTCTAATTATAACTTTATATTAACAGAATAAATCATGTATTTTTTTAGTGCTGACGTTTTTTTGAAGAAAGGGAACGCCATTTGTTACCTTCTTCTAGAAGTAACGAGTAACACCATTCATTTTTTTAGTAACCGTACTCGTTACTTTAAATTTTTTCTTAAAAATATGCAAAAAACATATATTATTATATTATAAAATTATTTTTTAAATTTTATAAATAATTTAAGCCTAGTTTTTAAGTTAGATCAATCACCAAATTCCTTCTTTTTATTTTAAATTTTCGTTATTAACTTTTCAGCCAAGAATTTAATCTAATTAACATCAAATCAATCAAGATATGCTAAATTATATTCTTATTCTCTAATATTATAATTTATTTTATATAGAATATTATGTCAATTGTATATATTTCTTCAGATGAAGATGATTTTACCTGCCCTGGCCCAAATATGAACATTTTTACACCAATAAAGAAAATTAAGGGTATAAAGTCTACATTTCGTAAAATTTTGTCCCAATTCATACATTTCCTCAATTGTGGAATAAACATGGACAGTCTTGAAAATGTGCAGCCATTTATAAGGAAAAAATAGGAAGATATCTGATTAAACCGTGTGTAAAAGATGGAACTCCTTTTATAACTCCGTGAAATTAATAGTCTTTTTAAGGAGAATTGTCAATTTGACGAAGATAAATCAAAATTGCAAATATTTTTATATAATCACAAGTCGTGTATTGTATGTTAGTGCTTATTAAAAAATAAGATATATTTATATATGATTTTCTATGTTATGGAATCTGTTGCTACGGCTCTTTCTATTTTAGAACTGTCGAAATCCAGGATTAGAATTAAACGAACAGTAAAGTATATTTTCAAATGATAATCATGATAATTAACTTTTATAAAATTAAGTCTTTTATATAAATATTAGTGCTGTTCCGATCCTATCCGATACCTATTTTTTATTTCTACAATTAAGACTATAATTTAAAAAAAATGATAAAAATTATTATTTAGGATAAAAATTTTCGAAATATTAGTTTTATTAAGAATGTGATATTGTTGGCTGACTTTCAGAGCTATTTTTTTAAATTTGATTTGTTTTTCCTAATATTTCTCCTTCTTTTTGTATTAGCTCTTCGAATGCCGTTTGATGGAATCGCTTTAAATGTTTACGGATATTGGTAGTATTAAATAAATTTTTCGTTATTCCTCCCCGTTAAATTAGAATTCCGCAGATAACTCATTTTTCAAAATTATCTTTATCTTATTAAAATATTTCCATAATTCTGATACCATATTTTAAGATACTCTTTTATTTAAATTATAAATACAGGGTTTCCCATTCAAAAAAGGAAAAGTTTCAATCATAAAAGGAAAAGGTCCGATCAAAAAAGGAAAGAGGCCTATCATTAAAAGGAAAAGTCAATCAAAAAAGGAAAATTTCATTCAAAAAAGGAAAATCGTAATTTTTTTTGTCAATTTTTGTTATTCCTTCATATTTTATTTCTAACTTTTTGCGATTTCTTTAGTTTATTTTTCTTACTATAACTTAACTCAATTTATTTTTCTTCTCATTTTTGATAATCCTTTTGTCTTTTAAAAATAATTTATAATAATTCCGTTAATTTTCTTTACATCTTTGCTTCCATTTTTTTAACAATTCTTTACATTTTTTTCATCATACATACAATATTCTTTTTATAATTTTTTCTCCTTATATTGTAATCTTTTACATACATTTCTAACCTTTTCAATCTCTGTAAGTCATTTTTAATCTTTATTTTTTTGACCTTTTCTCAATTTATTTTCTTCTCATTTTTGATGGAAGACAATTTTTTATAACAAATTATTTAATTACAATTAAATTAAATTAATCGTTTGGTTATTATGTACCTTTTTAAAATTAAATAAGCTTGAACTGTAATATCTAGCGATAAGTAAATTATAAAATATAATCATTTTAAAATTCTTATTTTTAAAATTTTAATATTTATGCAAGACACATTTATACTTTTGATCAAGTAAGTAATTTTTTTATAGTTTTATTTAAGCCTATATTCTTTAATTTATGAATAATTAAACATAAAAATTAGGTAAATGTTATATAATTTCAGTCTTTTTTGTCATTCATTCTATTTAATTAGTAAATATTTTAAAAAGAAATTTTTTTTTGTTTTAAAAAATAAATGGTAAAAACAAGGGGAAAAATATTAACAGTGAAACAAAAGCTCTAATAATTGACGCGTTAAAAAAGGGTTCAATGTCAATTCAGCGAAACTTTTATCGCGAATGAAGTTTATAGCGAAACTTTTATCGCGAATCCACATTAGCGAATATTTTTCCGCGAAAACAATATAGCGAAACAAATATCGCGAATTTTTTATAGCGAAACTCTTATCGCGAAATCTTTAAAGCGAATACATTAGAGCGAAATTTTTATCGCGAATCAATAATCGCAAAAATTTTATAGCGAAGTCAATATCGCGAAACATAAATCGCGAAGACAATATAGCAAAAACTATTTTACGAAATATAACGCGGCCTATTATTATTTTTTTATTTTTATTAAAATAATTTATTTTATTTATTTTAATGTTAATATTTTATTTATCAACAAATAAACATATTATATGATATATATTTTTTATTTATATTATTATATTATGAAATGAAAAATGGATTTCTTTTATTTGATATTTTTTTAATAAAAAAAATGATATGCTTGCTACTATTGTAATATTATTTTTGTTACAATTTATTAGTGATTTTCACACGCCCAAAATTTTAAGCAAAAAATATTTTTTGAAGTTCAAAAAGATTTTTAAACAAATTTTGATAAAAATTTTAAATCTTTTTTGAGAAATTCTTTTGCGAATTTTATTACTTTTAGGTGAAATCTTTTATAGTTTTTTTTTTATCATTTTTGTAAAGTTATCTATTTTTTAAATATATTAAAAGAGGTGGGTTTTCTAAATAATATTTTTTAAAAATATTTTTATTTAACTTATTTATGTATATGATCTTTTTAAGGATAATAATTTAATCTGACAATTTTTATATTCGTATTAAAGATGTTACTTGGAAAAATGACAATTATCATAATCGGTATTTTTAAACATATTAGATTTTTTTTACGGTAAAATATGTATTTTTAACATGTTAAATTAAAATTTTAATTAAGATGCACCATATAAAAGTGACAATTATCATAATCGTTATTTTTAAAGTTTTTTAAATTTTTTTGACGTAAATCGGTTAAAATAAGTGTTAACATGTTTTAATAAAACTTCAGTGAAGATATACCCTAGATAAGTGACAATTGTAATCCTTATTTTTAAAGTTTTTTGAATTTTTTTGACGCAAATGGGCAAAAAATAAATTGCTAACATGTTTAAATAAAACTTCAGTGAAGATGTGCTTTAGATAAGTGACAATTGTCATAATCGTTATTTTTAAAGTTTTCTGAATTTTTTTGAAGCAAATGGGCAAAATAGAAATTGCTAACATGTTAAAATAAAATATCATTGAAGATGTACCATAGATAAGTGACAATTGTCATTATTTGTTTTTAAAGTTTTTTAAAATTTTTTGATACAAAAGGGTAAAAATATAGATTGTAAAAATTTCAAATTAAAATTCATGAATATGTACCATATAAAAATGACAATTGTCATAATCGTTTATTTTAAAAGTTTTTAAATTTTTTTGAAGCAAATGGGTTAAAATATAAATTGCTAACATGTTAAAATAATATTTCAGGGAAGATGTACCCTAGATAAGTGATAATAGTCATAATCGTTATTTTTTAAAGTTTTTGAATAGTTTGACACAATTGGACAAAAATATAAATTGTTAACTTGTTAAAATAAAATTTCAGTCCAAACAAAAAAAACAAATCGATATTTTCATTCTCATAATTGTTGTTCCTTTTATCCTGCTTAAAATTTGATAAAAATATGCAAAGTGATTATTAAAGATAGTTGTAACCTATGTTAAATTCTAAACTTTTAAGATATGGATTCGCAATCTTATTCCTTTAATTAATAAATTTTAATTCTACATTATAAAAATGTATAACCTTGCATTCACAGTTAGCAAATATTTTTGTATACTCGTGGCAAAATAGTGCTGAGTCTGAATTCAGGGTAGGATTTTTATAGAAAGAACTTAAAAACCATATGAATATTATTTAGTAATATGATACAATCAACATCCTATAAATTTAATGTTAAGATTTTATTATGGTTAAAATGGATTACAATCTATATTTTAACACATTTACATCAAAGAACTTTAAAAATAACGATTATAAAAATTGTCACTTTTCAAAGGTATATCTTCATGAAATTTTAATTTAGCATTTTTACAATCTATATTTTAACCCATTTGCAACAAAAATATTCAAAAAAACCTTATTAACAACGATTATGACAATTGTAACTTATCTATGGTACATCTTCACTGAAATTTTATATTAACATGTAAGCAATTTATATTTTTGCCCATTTGCGTCTAAAAAATTCAAATAATTTTAAAAATAACGATTATGACAATTGTCACCTTTCTATGGTGCATCCTCATGTAATTTTGATTTAACATGTTTACAACCTATATTTTTACCCATTTGCGTCAAAAATATTCAAAAAAGTTTAAAAATAACGATTATGACAATTGTCACTTATCTAGGGTACATCTTCACTGAAATTTTATTTAAACATTTTTGCAATACTTATTATAGCCCATTTACGTCAAAAAAATTTAAAAAGTTATAAAATAACGATTATGACAATTGTCACTTTTCTATGGTACATCTTCATGAAATTTTAATTTAACATGTTTACAATCTATATTTTTACCCATTTACATTAAAAAAGTTTAAGAATAATGATTATGATAATTGTCACTTATCTAGGGTACATCTTCACTTAAGTTTTATTTAAACATACTAGAAATACTTATTTTAACGCATTTTGCTCAAAAAAATTCAAAAACTTTAAAAATAACGATTATAACAATTGTCACTTTTCAATGGTAGATCTTCATGAAATTTTAATTTAGCATGTTTACACAATCTATATTTTTACCCATTTGCAACAAAAAAATTCAAAAAACTTTATAAACAACGATTATGACAATTGTCACTTTTCAATGGTAGATCTTCATGAAATTTTAATTAAGCATGTTTACAATCTATATTTTTACCCATTTACAACAAAAAAATTCAAAAAACTTTATAAACAACGATTATGACAATTTTAACTTATATATATGTACATCTTTACTGAAATTTTATTTTAACATATAACAACTTATATTTTTGCCCATTTACGTCAAAAAATTGTAAAAAAACTTTAAAAATAATGATTATGACTATTGTCGCTTTTATATGGTACATCCTAATTGAAATTATAATTTAACATGTTAAAAATACATATTTTTGCCCATTAGCATTAAAAAAATCTAATATGTTTAAAAATACCGATTATGATAATTGCCATATTTCCAAGGAACATCTTCATTGAATTTATAATTTAACATCTTTACAATATAAATGATATCTTTACCCTTTTGAGTCAAAAAATTTCAAAAATCTTAAAAATAATGAATATGACAATTGTCACATTAAAATATTATCCTTAAAAAGATCATAAAATAACATAAATAAGTTAAATATATATATTTTTAAAAAAATTATTTAGAAAACCCACCTCTTTTAATATGCTTAAGAAATAGATAATTTTACAAAAATGATAAAAAAAACTACAAAAGATTTCACCTAAAAATTGTATATTTATAATAAATTTCACAAAAGAATTCCTCAAAAAAGATATATTTACAAAGATTTAAAATTTTTATCAAAATATGTTCAAAAATCTTTTTGAACTTCAAGAAATATTTTTTACTTAAAATCTTGGGCATGAAAATCACTAATAAATTGTAACAAAAATAATATTACAATAGTAGCATATCATTTTTTATTAAAAAACATCAAATAATAAATAATATGTTGTTTTCTTTTAAATAAATGCATTCGCAATATATTTATTGTTTCGCGGTAATGCGCTCGCGATAATGACTTCGCGCAAACATATTCGCGATAAAAAATTCGCTGTAAAGTGTTCGCGTAGTGTTTATCATTGATCTTCTCCTGTAGTTTGAATCTAAAATATCTATTATAATTATTTTACCTTTATTTATGTTCTTTCTTCAATAATTTTTAATTTTTTTCTTTTAATAGATGGAGTAGGAATCTTTTTATTAATATTTATAAAGTTTTCATTTTCTTTATTAGCAATATCTTGACCTAGCTATTATTCAATAATAAATATCAAATAATAGAATAAAAAATACAGAAATTATAGTATCCTCAAATGAAGCAATTTCAATATTTTGATCAAGTGGGTTTTCAATTTCATTAAGGTATTGTGCTGCCTATTAAAATATATAATTTTATAAATAAAAAACTATTTTATATTTTTGTCTTTAAATATTTTACATTTGTCTGTGTCAATTTAAAACTTGACTCAGAATATTTGGTAATATTTTCAACATTCTTTTTTAGCCATAAATATTCCTCAATTGTAAATCTTTGCTTTTTATTGCTCTTGCACCTATTAAAATTTAATTTAATATAATATAAAAAAAATTTTACCTGATTTTTGTAGTGCTAGAGAATATAATTTGTTGAATTTAGTTTTTACAGCCAATAATTTATTTTTCACTTGATCATAATTCAAGTTATAAGTTTTTCCTATTTTTTCTCAAATTTTCCTATTTTATATGGAATCTCTAAATTTTAAATCATTTTTGCACCAGAGGTTCCTGTGCACTCTTATGCTTTCCATAAAATTATATTCTGACACTAAAAAATATATTAATATAAAAGGCTATAATCGTTTGGTTACTATTTTACTTAGTATTTTTTTATAAAAATTTTAAAAATAAATAAATTTTGAATAAATTTTTATTCGAATTTTGTTTTTTTATTATTATTTTTATAAAAAAATAAATTTTTATAAATACCGAAAAATGAAATTGGACACCATTTTATTTTTACATTAAAAATAGCTTATGTTATTTTTTTATGATTTTGGACCCTATCATATATATCGTAATTGTAATTAAATAATTTGATATGTAAAAAAATTCTAATAAAATAAAATTTAGTGAAAATTAAATATAATTCCTAAAAAGAATTATCAAAAATGAGAAGAAAAAAAATTAAGATTAAAAATGACTTAAAAAGAGATTGAAAAGGTTAGAAATGTATGTAAAAGATTACAATATAAAGAGAAAAAATAAAAAGAATATTGTATGTATGATAAAAAAAAGTAATGAATTGTTAAAAAAAATGGAGCAGAGAGAGGTGAAGAAAAATAACGGAAAATTTATAAATTATTTTTAAAACAAAAAGAATTATCAAAAATAAGAAGTAAAATAAAGTAAAGAAATCGCAAAAAGTTAGAAATAAAAAGAAAAATTCACAAGAAAATAAAATTACGATTTTCCTTTTTTGATGAGAATTTTTCTTTTTTGATTGACACTTTTCATTTTTTGATTGAACCTTTCCTTTTATGATTGACTCTTTTCGTTTTTTCATTGTACTTTTCTTTTATGATTGAAACTTTTCCTTTTTTGATTGGGACTTTTCCTTTTTTGAATGGGAAACCTTGTAATAAAATTACGTTATTATTTAAAAAGATTAAATAAATAAAACTTTGGGTGTTCCTTTCTATTTTTACAAAAAAAATTTTAAAATACTATAAATCCATTTTAAAATTAATAAAATTTAAGGGGTGGCATTTGTTTAAAAAAAAATTATTTAGAAAGTATTATAATGTAAAATATCATAACATAAAATAACAAAGAAAAGTAAAAAGATCTGATCGGATCGGGTTTTTTATAGGTATCGGTCCGATCCGATATTTTTGAAAAATGCGAAATATCGGTGCCGATCCGATATTAATATCGGCACAGCCCTAATAAATTATAGCCATAAACAATTATTTAAATAGTATTATATAAAATAATATATAAAACTCATAAAAATTAACAATTTAAAGATAATATAATATTATAAATTAAGGCATTTAAATATAAACTCGGAGATTAAAAATAAACAATATACTACAAGAACATTTGGGGTATTTCACACCCACGTTCTGTGAAAATTAAAACTTAAAAAATTGCTTTAAATAATTTCAAGCTTTGTAAGCCACTTATTATTGCAAACCTGCAAGACATAGATAAAAGGTATACAATTGAAATATTTTTTACAATTTATATTTTAATTATATTTATCTTCAGTAGATTTGAACACATCTATAAAGATGAATATATCTTATCACTAATAACTCACCCGCTATTTGAATTGGATTGGCTCTGGATAAAGTTATAGGTTACAAAGGTAAAAAGCTCGAACTTATTTCCAGTTCTGAAAATAGCTTGACAAAGAAAAAGCAGACTTTTATTCCTTTAAAACTATTTCTGATAAAGATAAAAAAAATTTAAAGACGTTGAAAATTCTTTTTAAGATGATCAATTAAACTTTTTTCAAAATAATTTTTAATAAATTTCCCCAATTAAAATTTTTATTTATTAAATATAATACAACCCTCCCATCCTCTGCGCCAGTTGAACGTATTATTAGCAGAGCTAAATATATGTGCACTCTCTTGTTTATCTGATCAAAATTTTGAAATCATTTGTTAAAAATAAATAAATAATTATTATAAAAATACCTTATTATAATATATTATTTTTATATACTTTTATTTAAATTATTTATAGGAAAAGTATAGATATAATATTTAATTGTTCAAGTAATGAATCACGCGTTACTTTCTGAATAGCAAGTAACGCGCGATCCTTTTTTAAACGCAGTCTGACGTAACCAGTAACGCGTCTATTTTTTGAAGTAACGTTTACAGCACTAATTTTTTGGTCTCCTGATATTAAAGGCTAGGGCGCAACCGGTTAGGAACCGGAACATACATGATGATTTGATTTATGAGAAAAAAAAATTTTTTATCTTAAATTTATATTGATTTTAATGAATCATAAATTAAAGATTAAAAACTTTAGCTCCTTTTTTCTTAAAGATACAATCTGGTTAAGCACTTCAATTCTCTAAACCGACGATAAAGACTTTATTTTTCAGGGAAAGGTTTTTTACACATGGTTTGATCATGGAAATAAATGATAATTTCCCTTTTTTTATTTAAGCTGAATCGAATTAGCAAAAAATGCTATAAAAACGGTTCTGAAAAGGACGAATTCAAGGTTCTCGAGCACGACGACAAGACTCTCGTTAAGACTGGCAAGTAATGAAAACACCAAATATTTTACTATATATCCTTTATTTGGTATCGCGTCAATTCGGCGCGTATCTAATACAGTTGCAATTTATTATATATTACTTAGTATAAAAAAATAAGGATGATTAGATAGAAATCATTTTGAATGTTGGTCCTATTAATTATTTCTTCATAAAATGTATCAAAAAAAACAATATTTATACCTATTTCTTTGGTTGACCAATTTACCACATAAAGTATGTAGATTAGTAGCCAATGTTATGTTAGCCGAGATTTAAGCATAGAAGAAAGAGAGAAAAAGAAAGGTTTGGACCTCTATCTCGAATCTTACATATTATTTTGGCTAGAATTTAAATCGACCGTTTTTAAAAATAGACCCAGCCATGATCCAAAAAAAATCAAATTAAAACTGACTCATTTTTTAGATTTATTAAAATTCCTTAAATTCTATTAATCCTTTTAAAAAAATATATTATGCTTAGGCTAATTTTTTCCATTATATAAATCAAATTATAGAATATAGAAAATATAAATATACTATACAAAACATGCTATTAAAAAAACATTATATTTGTAAATTAAAATTATATGCGATCCCCCTTAAATAATCATTAATCGGGCGATTTACATAGTCAGATACATTTAATATAATATTTTCAGACGTATCCCGATACCTCTTTCTTGATCTCGGGGGTTGCGTACCAGAAATATATTGTTTAATTTGCTTCGGTTAACGATTGTTCTAACCGTAGAGCATCTAAAAATTTCCAAATAGAGGGATGGTGCGATGATAGAGATGAGAATGCTCTATGCCAACCTATAGTAAAAAATTGCAAAGTTATAAAAAATGATTGTGTAATAATGATTAAAAAGATAACAAATTTTTTAAAAAATTACCTTCAACTGCATTATTTGTTTTTAAAATTCCCTCCAATGTAGCAGCATATTGATTCTATAGGGGAATTGAAAACCTTGGTGGTTGTCTTTCTCCATTACGAAGAATTTCCCCAATTCAATTTGCTTCATAATATGTTATAAGATTATATAAGACCCTTTCATTATCTGTGTAAGTCCATAAAAAGCATCAACTACATCATCCATGGGAACAAATGCAAGAGAGAGCATTTGTCTAATTTTTATAGACCACTCATATCCTCCATCTTTATCTAAATAATGTGCTAATAACTCGCCATCACTCTGTATATGTCTCCAAATCGCTTGGGTCATATGAAAAAAACACCCTCTTACAGTTATTGACGGAAATGAATGTGTAAAGGCATCTATTTCCGCCTGCTCAAAATCGATCATTACCGATATAGGATTTAGATTATTTTTTAATCTTTTTATCTCATCCAAGACCCTTATACATTTAATCTGGGTTTTATTCGGTAATAGCACAAAAATTGTGGGTACAATCGTTTTATGATATAAGACATCAGGGGAGTATATTATTTTTTTTTAATTTTTATAAATTTTTTTTTATTGTCTAAAATTAGGCGTGAAAAGGGGATTCATTATAGTACTTATCAGGGGGGTATTTTGGGTCTATTTTTAAAAACGGTTGATCAAGAATGTAGCCAAAATAATATATAAGATTAGAGATAGAGGTCAAATCTTTCTTTTTCTTTCTTCCTTCTTTGCGCAAAATCTCCAGGCTTGCATAATATTGGCTACTAATCCACATACCTTATAATGTGGTAAATTGGCCCATTAAAGAAATAGGTATAAATGTTAGTTAATTTTTTTCTATATTACACATTTCGTAAATAAAATTGAGATTTTTGTAAAAATAAATATGAATTGAAAGAGATTGAGAATGTTGCATTAGCAAGGCGTTCTAAGAACTCAAATTAAATTTAGTGGTTGGTTTGTCTTATATTAACAAACCTTAATTTCAAATATTTGGCCCCTTTACCTGGATTCTTACCATTGATGGTAATCAATCTTTTTTAAAAATAAATATTACTTTCCAAATTTGCTCTAAAAATTTGAGCAAAATATTATTGACTATCTATATAAATATTACATAGTTAACCTTAAAGCAGACGATTCATGATAAAACTGCTGCATAGATCTTGCCAGGATCACCTTAAATTTGAAATCTATTTTAATATACTAATTTAATTCTTTTTAAAAAAGTCAATAACACTGATAACTTTTAAGCTAAAATGCTTTACATATTAATACACATATTTTGTATGGATATATTAAACGACCAACAACTTCCACACAGGTTTTGTGGCGGCCTTAAACAAGACATAAAGCGCAAACTGCCTTGGTACTTTTGGAGCGACATAACTGACGGACTTTCAATGCAATGTCTAGCATCCTTCTTTTTCCTCTATTTCGCTTGCTTGGCGCCGATCGTGACCTTCGGCGGCCTCCTAGGTGATGCTACTGGACATAATTTGGTACGTAACATATCTTTCTATCTGGTTTAAATTTAACTACAAAAGAGAATATATTCATGATCAAATATATAAATAAAGAAATTAAATAATGGAAGAGATAATATGAAATGAAAGAAAATAATGGTTAACAAATATGGTTATTTGCGAAGAATAACCTATCGAGAGTTTACGAATAAAAGTATTCTTACGCCTCGTTGAATGACCCCCTAACCTTATTTAGTCTTTTTTTATCTACTTCGTTACGTCTATCTTTATTTTTGGAGACCTTTTAAATCGGAGACAAAGTTTTGTCAGTTTAGTTTTTTTAAGAGTTTTTAAAGTGTATTAGAGATTATCTTTTATGTCTTTCTTATAAAAAAATTTTTATAGGAATTGTGAACGGAACTGTTCAAAAATTCAATTGTCTAATTTTTAAGACTATTTGTTACTTTAATACAATAAGCAATCGTTGTAAGGCTGCAACATCTTGCTATTCTGTTATTGGTTCCAAACTATGTTTTACCCAACTAGAAATTAGTTGTTTAGCTGATGGCTAGATAAAATAAACAATTAATTCCATTATAATAAGTGCGCATCTTAACAACAAAAATTAACTTTATATTTAATGAGGATGTAAACCTTTTCTTTTCTCTCTACTAATCTAAATTTTCATTTGTTATCAATCGAAGATCTAAGAAAATGATAGATTAACAAATGTTAGGCAGAATGTAATAAAAGAAAATAAGTAAACATGCATTGTCAAGATTGTGCAATATTCCTTTGATTTTTTTCCAGCCCAAGCCCGGCCCGCCCCCGATGTTATAAAACTTTCGACTGTTATATAAATGGAATTATGGAATATATTATTTTAATTTTATTCTCTAATAACTTTCTTTATTATAATTGATGCAATTGTAAAAGATAATGTATTCATTTTATTTATTTTGTTATTATATAGATAATTCTTTTGTTTTATGGAATCTTTAGTGTTGTTATCTTTTTAAACCAAAGCCTGGCAGCCAGTTGCCCCTACAACGGGGGGGGGGGGGGTCCGAAGCAACTGCTTCAGTAAATTTGAGTGGGGGTACTTTTTTTTAAAATTTTTTATTTTAAAATTTTGAGTAGGGGGTACTTTTTTTAAAAAAATTTTTATTTTAATATTTAAAAATTTTTTTTTTATTGTTTTGCTACATCCATCCATAACCAATTGATTTCTGGTTTATGTATGTAATAATAAGACCCCCCCCCCCCCCACTTATTTATTAATTTAATATATATTGACGGAAATTTTAGATCGATGTTTAGTAAATTAGGTTGTTATCCGAGATTTCTTGTCATAAATTATTTTTCCAATTTCAAAATATGCCTAAAAATATTAACCAAAAATAATAAAATTTGTTAGAAAAAAATATAATATCTGACTCTTTTAATGATCATGAAATTTAATAGTGATATTATTGTGCATGAATATACACAGACACATATGATGGCCGATTATGGAAAGCTTTCACACAACAAAAATTCCATATTACTATTTATAGTACCCCAGAAAGAATGTGTGGATAATAACCGTTCTATCATAAGAATATTAATGAGTCTAGGTTATTTAATATCTCGTAACCAAGCCTTCTGGGGAACAGGCTACAAGAAGGCAATATGACGGGCCTTATTAAACTCATTGCAGATTCTGAACCTGTACTGGGAGAAAAACAATAAGGGATTAAAAACGAAATAATATGCAAATCTATTAACATATAATAACATAAATATTCTCATTAAACCATGAAAAATATGGTTATAAAAAAAATTCAAAATGAGATTGAATTTAACAGGTGCTTTTCAATCATAGTTGATGGCACATATGATGTTTCGAAATCAGAAGCAAGAGCTTTGACTAAGATATGTTGAAAATAGTGAGACGCCGAATCCTGTTGAAAGACTGATTGACATATATTGTATGGGAAATACCACAGGTCTCGATATTAAGCATAATATTATATCCAGGCTCGATGAATTTACCCCTTTAATTCATAGTTGGGTAAAGTTATGATGGCGCCTCATACATAAGTGGAAGATTCAATGGTGTGCAGGCCTTGATTAGAGCAGAGGCGCCAAAGGCAGCTTTTATTTGGTGTTATTGTCATTGATTAAATTTAATCATTGTTCAATTATGCCAATCAATTAAGGAACTTCAAATGTTCTAGGAATACTAGATGAGATTTATATCTATTTTAATGGTGTAAAAAAATATGAGGTACTCAAAAAATTTCAGTGTAATGATCTGAAAAAATCGCAACGATTTCTACGCATCAAGAATACCACTCGGTAATAGTACCTTATTTATTTATATTGAAAATGTTTTTTTATTTAGAAGCTGGCTATCGTCAAGCTATTGTAAATTTTTTTCTACTTTATGATGCCTTGAGGGCAGCTTTAACAAATTTAAAGGATTCTGAAGATCCTGCCACTTCTTCCACTATGGATAGTGCTATAGTCTTTAGAATAGAAAAATTTGATTTTATCTTATCACTTAGTGTTTTGGATAAAATATTGTTGATAAAAGTTTGGCTTGTACAAAATTGCAAACCATTTCGAAGGATATAGGGTTTGCAATAAATCAAATTCAATTGGCAAAAGATTGCTTGATTAATTTGAGAAGTATAATATAAATTATTGTCTTAATTATTTTTCAATCTAATAGATAATAACACTGAATTTTTGGATGTTTTTTCAAAGGCACAAGATTTTATAAAGGAGAGAAATCTACCTTTTGATTTTGAAAGTTCTAGACTTCAAACATTACAATCCAAAAAGGAGAAGAGGTATATATACTTTCATCATTAAATATAGAAATTTTTTTTAGCTTTAAAATAGGTGTGTTTTATGCTGCACTCGATTTAATTATTATGCAGTTTAACGAAAGATTTAATGATGATTCGATGAAATTTTTACATCAAACATCATTTTTTACGCCAAATAATGTGGCAGAAAAATCAATTATTAAAGATATAGAGGATATCTGTGAATTTTACAATTTAAATTCAAGTCAAATTTTCGAAGAAATGTTGAAGTTTAGAAATATTTATAAGATGGCCAAAATAGGGAATGTAATTATTACTCATAACCTAGAGGTTCAAGAATCTAAAGATTTGTCAGATTCTGAGAATTGTAAATTTATTTAATTAAAATATTTTTACCAATACATTATTTAGCTTCTTCTTCTGATGATGATAATTCAGGGACTTACGATTCAGATTGGAAAAACTATTCATTTATTTTACATTGTCGTCTACTTTTAAATTTTTCTGCTTTCTCTAATTTAAGAATTTTATATAAATATTTATTAACCATTCCTACAACCTCATGTACTGCCGAAAGAGTCATGAGTAAAATTAAATTAATTAAAACAAGACTTCGTAGTACCATGGAAGATTCATTTCTCAATAATTTAACCATATTATCAATGGAAAAAAATTTATTTAAACAATTAAATATTGAGGAAATTATAAATTCTTTCGCTTTCTCTTTCCCTAATTTATCTAAATTACTAATTTAAAAATAATATTTATAAAGTATATATTTTTTGCATTTTATTTATATATATTAAAAATTGATGCAATAAAAATTATTTTTGAAATTTATGGGTGTCATAAAATAATTATCATTTTTTCGAAGGGGGGGGGGGGGGTACTTTTCAGGGGGGTATTCTGCTTCATTCGCTCAGAAAGTGTAGGGGCCACTGCTGGCAGCCCAAAATTTTTAATATAATATATATATATAAATTAAACTCATTTTTATGAAGTTAAATCAAGTAAAAATCCCTAATCTCACCTTATTAAAGAGAAATTCTAATTTTAATAAGTTATCTTGATAAAAGAAGTGATACATGATTTTTATTATAATTTTTTAAGTTCGGCCCGATGTCTATATTTTTTTGACTTGAGCCCGACTTCAGTTAATACTTTTTTTAAAAATATTATTAAAAATATATAATATTTAAAACACTATTAACATAAAAATACTATTTCATAAGTGTGTTCATTGTTTCTACCCCCTTTGTACTGGAAAAATGTGTAAAAAATTATTTTTATTCGTTAATTTATTATAGTCATAATTTAATTTGTAATTTATAATAAATTATTCAAAACTCTTTTTTGCTAATATAGTTTTATAAATATATTATGCATAAAATTAAAATTATTACCATCACTCGGACGATTTTATGATATTAGGTTTATTTTATTATATTAATTATATGAAAAATGAAACATTTAAGAAATCTAACCAAACTATTCAAACCAATTTTAAAGTATGATGAAAAAATAATAATGAGTCTAATATATCAGGACATAGGTAACCAGGATTTTGCTAAAGGGGTGGGGGGAAGCACTATTAGATAAATTTTTTACCCATGAATTTTATTAGAGATTTTTAGGTTCACTTATTGTAGGCGTTTGGCTATATTAGATTTTTATAAAATTTTGGGTTTTCACTTTTTTTTATATTAAAATCCTTTTTTAAAAAAAAATTTGAATTATACTCGTTTATTTTTAAATGTTACTAAACTAATACTAATTTTTCAAATCCTTCCTTATAATGGTATATTGCATACATTCTTGGGAGAGAGAGGGGGCGCGGGGTGTGTAGGATGAAATTTTTTATTGGCTTAAAATGATATTTACGAGAACACGCAAATTTGCTCTTTACGCGCTTGCATCAGGATGTGGTTTTTTTATTCATTTAATACCATGAGAGAATAAAAATTAATATTTTTTCGGACTTGGGCCAAAGGTTGGCCCTGCAGGATTCTAGTATGCATCCCTCCTATATAATCGCTATAATAAACGGGATAATTATACATAGGATAATTCATAACACATTCATTTATTCATACAGCGATGATCATTCATGCATATAACAATAATGGCCAGATATATAATTATAATAGATATTTCTACATAGCAATAATGTTAGACAGTTAAACATTACTACCCGATTTTATTATGCATATATAATAATTATAAAACATTTAATAAACGAATATACTAATTCATAATATATAAATAAAATAATACCATATATTCATTCATGTATTTCCATTATATCAATATTATCTATATGTGTTTATAATGCAATTATTCATGTAATTTCTACATTACTACAATTACCACATGCAGAGATTAATTGTATTTTAAAAACATTCAGGCTACGATAGAAAGCTTATTATCTGGAGCCATATGTGGTATAACATGGTCACTCTTTGCTGGTCAGCCTCTCACCATAATGGGTAGTACTGGACCTATACTCGTATTTGAATCCATCGTATTTTCCTTTTGCAGGTACTAGGAATTTAATTTAAATGATTTCTAATTATCTTCGTTTTATCCTTATAAGATTATATTAACAAATATAAAGAAAATAAAAGTGAGAATCAAGTTTGCCAATTATAAGTCTAAATTCCACTGCTTACTACGATTAGTATATAATTGCTGCAAAATATTTTTTATTAAATATGTATTCTTCTAACCCTCTTATTACATATCGATCTTACCCTAATCCCAAATTTCGGATCCAACTCATTATTGTAATGTAAGGTTAAGATCGGGCTTAACCTTAGACTTACAATATGATATACATCGGAACCTGGGGAGATTAAATTAGTCTTTCTGGATTTAATTCATTTCCATTTTTAAGCCGGGTCCAGTTTGATTTTTAAATTTATTTTTACCAGGCTATCCTGTTTTTTTATTTATTTTTTTCAAAATTGAAATATTCATAGGTAAACAATTCAATAATCTGGCCACCATTTTATGATTAAAATTTTGAATTCCACTTTTAATGCACTATTTAATTATCTTGTTTAAATAAAATCCCAAAATAATCATCGTATTGATCATCTCTTCAAACTTCTAAAAAGAACCCTTCATTATACCTATATTACGAATTATATTTAATTTAACTAAAAAAAATTTGACATTATAAATACCAGGGTTAGCGACCGGGGGAGTATTTGATTTGGTCAAATACGGTCAAATACTCTAAAAAAATCTGAAAAAAAAATGTTTGAATAAATAAAATAAACGATATAAATGCATGTGATCACAATTCTTCTTATTTATTGGGTCCTCAATTTCGGGAGGGAGCATCTTACTAATAGAATTCAATGAAATATGTTATATAATACAAAAATTAATCGTTTTACAAAGTGGTGATGATCAAAATATTTCAAGTGATATTAAAAATTTCAGTAGTAAAAGTGGCATGTTTAATAGCAAATAATATTATAAGCAGTAACTTTTTTAAAAAATATATCAAATTTTGGCCTCAAGTTAGTGGAATGAGCTTTGCCCACCATGCCCATTAAGAGAAATAACAATTAGTTCTACTTCTTCAGAAAGAAATTGGTCGATTTCGGTTAATATTTTTACTAAAACATAAATCGATTGGAGATCTCGACAACAGAAAAATGGATTAAAAATATTAAGGAAAATGAATAAGAACAAGACTCTGCCATGGAGAGTGAAACGTCAATTATTGAATGACAATGAATTTAAAAAATATTATTAAATTAATATTATAGACTCATTTTACTATTATATACAAAATAAAGTATACATTGACTTAAAACACATTTATTTGAATTTGACCGGTCAAATATCGGTCAATTGACCAAAGCATAATTGGCTGGTCAAATACACAATTTTGATAAAAACTATATTAAAATGAAATTAAAAAAGCATAAATGTTTAATTAATTAATTATGGATTTAACAATTATAAGGAAAATTATATTTAAAAATTTCGATTTATATTTTTGTCTAATAAATAAAAATTCTTTCGCTTTCTTGGTGATATGTCTAATTTTACCCCAAAAACTTTTTAAAAACATAAATGTTAAAAAAACGAGCCGTTAGTGGATGTTACTATTGAAATGAAAATAAAATTGTTGAAGTCCTTATATTTTTTTATTTTTTTTAACCTGGATAAGCGGATTGATTGTTAGTGTGGGGAATGAAGAGACACAAGTATAGTCCCATATTTAAGATCTACCGAGGGCCCAAGAGAGGGTTTTCAACCCATCAGATCTTAATTGTTTACTTGTGATAAAGATGGTTGGGTATGTGAGCGAATTATCCGTTTGAAATAATTACAAATTTATAATAATTTTTAAGAGATCAAGGCCTAAATTATCTATCCTTCCGTTGCTGTATAGGCCTATGGACCTGCCTCATACTACTCGTAATAGTAGCTACAGATGCTAGCGTGCTGGTTAAATACGTTACTCGATTCACAGAAGAACTCTTCGCTTCTCTCATAAGTCTTATTTTTGTGTACCAAGCTCTTAAAAACATTTACCATATTAGCAAGGAATATCCTGTCATTAGACGGAACCCCTTACCTCTGGGGCGATCTTTGCTAACCCCTTCCAACGTAATACACATCTTTATTATTAAATGAAATATATCTATGCTGCTTAAAATTTAAATTTTTGTAATTTTGTTCATATTTTAAACACGGTTTTTTTTGAGAATTATAAATATTGAAAATGAGAGTTCATATTAAAAACAAAATAAACATCTCAATATTTTTTTAAGTAAAAATTTTTTTGGTTTAATATTTTTCTTTCTTTCGTAAATATATAGAAAGGTCCGAGCCCTATTTACTTAATTTTTTTTTAATTATTATTTAAATTTAACCAATAAATCCAAAATTTCACAAGATATCCACTTTAATGTCGAATTATTCTAAAGCCATTGCTGATTTTACGGATGCCGATGGCGATCACGGGTATCCTCATGTTTCCGACGTTTTTTTCTTATCCGTCATTCTCTTCCTCGGCACCTTTTTGTTGAGCCTTGTTTTTAAATCTCTCCGAAATACTACATATTTCCCCATGATAGTAAATGAATTAAAACGATATAACATTCCCTTAAATTTTCTATAATATAAAACGAGCGTATAAAAAGTTGAGACTATGAGTAAATCATCCGAATAGAGATGTGGTAAAAAGAAGAGAATATAAATAAGGTTAATGTTATATCGACATAATTTCATTACATTGTTTGTTATGTCAACATAATTTCATTAAATTGAATTTTAAAATTATTTCTTAACATCATGATTTTCCGATAATTAAACGTTATTATATAACACCTAACAGATTAGGTACACTATAAGCGATTTCTCCGTCCTATTTGCAGTACTACTAATGCTTGGACTAGATTTCTATTACGGATTGGCTACACCTAAGTTATTGGTCCCTCGCAATTTTAGGGTAATTTCTTAACACGTTGTATTATATCATCCATCCTGGCTTTCTCTTTAAATTGACTGAATATAGGTATTTAATTATAAGTTTTTGATCTTTTATGTATATAGTTCTTGATATTTGTAGTTATTTATTTATCCATTTCATTTTTTTTAATAGAAAGAATTAATATTTAACTTTTCAAAAATTGATATATTTTGAATTAAAAAAATTTTTTAAGCCCACTTCTCCTCTGAGAAAAGGGTGGTTTGTTAACCCTCTAAGCGAAAATCCTTGGTGGACGTCCTTAGTTACAGTGTTCCCGGCACTTTTGGCAACCATCCTCATTTTTATGGACCAACAAATTACAGCTGTTATTATTAATCGGAAGGAAAATTTACTCAAGGTGCTATGCTATTGTTATCTTTTTTAAATTAAGAGAATTATGCTGCTTCCTATTGAGATAAGGTAGGTTATAGGAAATCTAGAGCTAAGGAGGAAATATTTTGAAAAACGTACTCTTTTTAACATAAACTTATTCGCCATTTTTTTGAATCATTTAATCTATTCTGTAATTATTTTCTTACTATTTTTTAAATATATGACATGATGAATTATATATAGAAAGGATGTGGTTACCATCTAGATCTACTTGTCGTGTCCCTATTAGTGGCTATATGTTCCTTGCTTGGAATTCCTTGGTTTGTGGCCGCCACCGTACTCTCCATAACACACGTCAACAGCCTCCGGGAGGAAACAGAATGTTCGGCCCCAGGAGAGAGACCCAAATTCCTTGGTGTCAGGTCCCTATTAATTAAATTTATGTTATTTTTTTTTCAAGGATAGAAGAAAAAAATTGTTATAAGAGAATTTTAAAAGTCTAGGAGTGTATTTATTGATTACCATTAAAAGGATAATGTTTATCGATTCTTCAAAACATATTCCACTTTATATTTTCAGTAATTTCATAAACATCATCCCTTAGAACTTTTCAATCACAGTTTAGACAGATTTTTTAATTAATCAGATTCGAATCACGATCTTTTCTAAAAATATAGATCAAAATCCATAATAAAAGTTTTTTTAAAAAAAGAATCATTCACTCAAAGCTTTCATGAATAATGCACATATTTTTATAATCTGGATCACTTATTTTATAAAATCTTGAAAATATATGCCCGATCCAAAATATACCAATAAAAAAAAATTTATGGTGTTGATTTATTGTAAACAATATTTTATAATTATATAACTGCACCAACAATTTTAAAATTATATAACAACTGCACAGTGGCGTAGCATGTATTAAAGAGGGGAGATTAGGAATTTATTAGGAGGAATGGGGGGAGGGGGTTCGATCCCTAAAACTTATTTACTTGGCCCACCTTTAAATGATCTTAGTTATTTTTGATTTGCATGTGGTTATTATTTTTTTCTTTTTTAAATATGTAATATCTATATTAGTGGGCATTATTAAAAAAAGTTTAAAATAAGAAAAAATTGGCATCATGCTATAGAATGGAAAATATAGAAGAATGTACTATTTACGCTTATATTTATTGCCTAAACTAGTAATCATTTAGTTTTGCGATCCCAAAAAGAAACGAGTTTTGAACAAAATGCTATATAACGTCACTTTTTAATTGTGAAATGAACCAAGATTTTCAAACATTAATTCTGAAACTTCAAATTCTGTAGTACTTAATACATTTTATTACTTTAATCCGTTTTGTAGATGGTTTAAAGAGAAACAAATAATTAGAAGAATGAGTGGGAGAGATCAGGAAGAAATTGTGAAGTTATTTTTAATTCGCAACAGATAAAGGTCACATTTAAGACAACTCTTGCTTACTTAGGCAATAATTTAAAAGCCTGTAAATATATATTGAATATGTTATTTTTCTTTTAATAAATGCATTCGCAATATATGCATGGATTCGCGGTAATGCTCTCGTTAATAAATTCGCACAAATAATTTTGTGGTAAAAAAAATTGCTATGAAGGCGCGATAAAAGTTTCGCTATAAAAGTTCCACTAAAATGTATTCACTCCAAAGTTTTCGCGCAGATCAATTCACGATATTGCCTTCGCATTAAATGTTTCGCGGAATTGGTTTCGCGATATTACATTCGCTCTACTTCTCGATAAACAACATTTTTAATCAAAGTTTCGCGGAATTGACATGATACGAGATTTTACTCTATTTTCTTAAATTTTTACAGCTTCTGTTTGGCTAGAAAAATATATCTGTATTATCTCATTAAAACCTGCTGCGGATGTGACTATTTTCTAGTGAGCTGTCCAGTGATTTTATCAATTCACTTGAATTAAAGTTTTAAAAATTTAATTTGACTTAATATCGGCTCAATTTTTTAAGTATAGTTTTGACGAATTTATATATTTTTTTAGGCCGGAACCCAAAATTTTAATTGAGAATATAAAATATTAATTTTTTTTGTCTTAATTATTTTATTTTAATAATGAGAAGGTATCGTTTTTACAAAATTAATTTTTAGCCCGTTTTTTCTAGGCCCCGAGCAGCAAGGGATTCTAATCTGAATCAACTAAAATTGTTATCACGGCATTCAAATATGCTTATCTCATATGAATATAATTACATATATTTTATTTTTTATATCCTTTACAGGGAACAAAGACTTACTGGATTTCTCATATTCGTATTCATTGGCTTATCTGTTACGATGACTAAATTATTGCAAGTTTACCTTTTTGTTATTTTAATAAAATTTAGGAGGCAGATTTTTTTTAAATAAATTGGATAGAAGATGTTTTAGAATTTTTCGTAACCTTTTAAATGAGAAATTTATTTAGGAATGAAGTTGCTTTATTATTGTCTTTCATCTTAAATTTTAATGTAAAACTGCATGGATCCCCAAACCTGCGGAAACTCTTTTCTGATTCGGAAGTTTGAAAATGGATGATATGTGAAAACCTTTATTTTATAAATGTAAAAATTAAGATAATCAAATATCCAAATATTATGATGATTCTTCACAATTCGTTCTTTTTATATCTTAACGATTTTATAATTTAAGTGCACAAATTATCTTTGTTATCTCAAAAAACATTTAAGTTATATTATTGATCTGATTTCAATAATATAAATATACCTTTAACCACTTGATAATAAAAATTGAATTATCCAAATATCAGATCTTAAGCTTTAGTGATAGGTAAAAGTTAACATTAAGCTACATAACATTACTATTTTTATTAAGAATTTTATGGTAGCTAAACCATGGATTATACAAAATTTTTTAAAAAAATATACGAATAAAGTACATACCTATGCCCGTTCTTTACGGCGTGTTCCTATATATGGGGATTTCTTCCTTGAAAGGTGTTCAAGTAAAAAAATATATAATATTTAATTTTAAATTAAAAACTAATTATCGATTCCACGTCTTCATGTGAAAAAATAATTTGGAGAAAAAGATCAAGATTTATCTCGTCCAAAATATTTTCTTTAACCCTTTAGAAGCCTCCCTCCCCCTATGAAATATACATGAGGCCGCATTCTATTATCGCGCTGTCTTCCATTTATATAGACATTGGCTTTACATTCCGCTTAAGATATATTTTAAAAATTTTTAAACAGAATCATTCATTAATACATTATAAATTGAATAAACCATTCATTAAAATTAAATTCAATCTTTTAAATGGGGTTGTTTATCTAACTCCTATCAAATATTGGAACAGTGTTACATTTTTTTAACAACTTGAAAAAAGTAAACAAAATTTTTGTGATCCAGACCTAAACCGAACCGCGGGTATCAAACGTTATTATTTCAGAACCTAAACAGTTAAAAAGTTTGTCTGAACCTAACCTCAAAAAAGATTTATAAGGTTTCTTTCGATATCTTAATTCTTAAAGATTATTAATAAATTTTGATTGATAAATATCAGTAAATATTTTTAGATATTCTTGTATTGTTATTTGAAGGTGCAGATATCTAAATTAGCATATGTGTTCTCAACCATATAATTTATTCTTTCTTTATATATATATGGTGAATTCCATATCAAATCAACAAAAAAAAGTCGATTTTCAACCCGACCCCCTTCAATTTTTCTTAAATTTTGTATATTGGTAGTATATACTATAACTAATAAAAAAATGAAATTTTACCTTCCAACACTGTTTACCCGCTAAGATATGGCCGCTTAAAGCGCGGAAAAATGGTACATTTTTGACAAAATGCACTTCATTTATTTTCAAATATCTCGAGAAATAATTATGTTAGAAAAACAATTTATTATATTGTAGCTTAATAAAAGTTCTTTAAAATTACATAAAAATAAATATGATGGACATTTTATTAATATCGAAAACCGGATGTGTAAAACCGGAAATGGCCATAGAAAACAAAAGGTTTTTTTCAAATTTTTTTTTCTGTAGATAGATATCACACCGCTTTATATTTGTACAAAATCCTAGACTGGGATGAACATGGGTTTAAGAGTTATCACTCTTTATATGGCTAAAATTGAACAAATTTAACATTAATATACTTTTTAAAATTCAATTTAAATGTTGGCGAATTCTTAGTTATTGCAGACTTTTCAGAAAACTGTATTTGTAGTGCAGAACCATGCACAAGGATGTAATCAGACCAATAATCAAGCCACTATCAACTCTTTTATAATTTATTACCCTAAGAACAACATAATAAAACATGTAAATTTAGTGGTTATATCAGATTGTTTAAAGCACAACGCATGTGCATTTTATTTATTTTAAAAATTAATCGTATTCTTGAAGGAAAGATTTAATAGAGTTGCTAAAATTTATTATTTTTCTGATGGAGCAAACCAATATAAAAATAAAGATTTCATTAATCTCTACAATCATGAAAATGATTTTGGGATAAAGGCTGAGTGACATTTTTTAAAATCGCACAAGGTAGAAGTCCATGCGACTTGAGGGCCGTTACTAAACGATTAGCAGCTCGAGCAAGCTTGCAACGTCCATATGAACATCACATAGCAAGAAATAATATCTATGGGGTAAATTATATATTTGTGAGCAATAATGAATATATGAACATAGAAAGTCATCTTGAAAGCAGGTTTTTGAGAGCAAAGAGAATTTCTGGAACACAAAGTTCCAAGCTTTTATTCCCCTAGACGAAAACAAAAGTCATGATTTATTAAAATTCCTTGGATGATTATAATATATGATATATTTTAATTATAAATTTTTGATTGCATTATATGTAATGCAATTTGAGGCAAATAAAGTTATAAATATGTTTAGAATTATTTTATCAAGTAACTTCGAGACAAAATTTAACTAAAGTGTTAAACAAAGCTCATTATTCTAGCCACTTCTCAAAAATTTTGATAAAGAGAAAAAAAAGTAAGGATCTGTCATTTAGACATAATTTTTAATTAACATTATTTCATAACTATTCATTAAATTAAAATATGATGATATTAATGTTAAATTTGTTCAATTTTAGCCATATAAAGAGTGATAACTCGTAAACCCATGTTCATCCCAGTCTAGGATTTTGAACAAATATAAAGCAGTGTGATATCTATCTACAGAAAAAAAAATTTGAAAAAAAATACCTTTTTTTTCTATGGCCATTTCCTGTTTTACACATCCGGTTTTCGATATTAATAAAATGTTTATCATATTTATTTTTATGTCATTTTAAAGAACTTTTATTAAGCTACAAAATAAAATTTAAATTATTTTTTTAACATGATTATTTCTCGAGATTGAAAATAAATGAGGTGCATTTTGTAAACGCTTTAAACGGCCATATCTTAGCGGGTAAACAGTGTTAGAAGGTAAAATTTCATTTTTTTCTTAGTTATAGCATATACTACCAATATACAAAATTTAAGAAAAATTGAAGGGGGTCGGGTTGAAACCTTGGTTGATTTGATATGGAATTCACCATATATATATCCTATACCTATAAATAGGCAAGTCAAAGGGTAAACAATTGTTTTTCGATATTTTTATCATTATCATACGAAATAAATTGTTCTACCCCTTGACCACTTGATCCCCAAAAATTTTTCCCCGGACGTCAATCATACAATTACATAAATAAATAAATAAATATATAAACACATTATCATATCAATCCGCGATTGTAAATTACACCGCCATTGTTGAATATATATCAATTATAATCATTAAATAAAATAGTTAGACGGCCTGGCATGGCCTCAGGGTTCTCCAGCACTTCTTGTGCTGGGGAGCCCTGCAAATATTGTTTCCCAGTCTTGATCTACGTGGTTTCGTAATTTTTGGGGATCAAGTGGTCAAGGGGTAGAACAATTTATTTCGTATGATAATGATAAAAATATCGAAAAACAATTGTTTACCCTTTGACTTGCCTATTTATAGGTATATCGAAACGCAATATCCCTAGCGGATATATATATATATAATTTGTCAGAAAAGAAGTTTGGAAATATTTTAATTATATACGACTCATTGTTTTTTAGTGATAAAATTTTAAAAATATGCTTCTCTTACATAGTTCTAATAATTTTATATGCGAAAAGGTTCAAACGATATTATTTTTTTTACTATTTTTTATATTAAGATCCCTGATCCTTTTATAATATTTTCAAACTTAGTTATTATTAATTTTATTTTTTATAATATATTCAGGATTGGGTAGTATCGCGAATATCGATTACTGAGAAAAGTTAATATAATATCCCAAAATTTATAAATCGAATACATTTGCGCGAAAATATGACGAATGTAGAGCCGCGAAAGCATTATCGCGAACATAAGAAATGCAATATCGAATATATTATCGCGAAATATTAATGCGAATGCATTATCGCAATTGAAGTAACTCAGTTGCAATATCGGGAGTACAGTTTAGTGAAAATTATATTTTAAAATTCATCGGCCTTTAGACAGACTTAGTAGAACGGAAGAATGGGCCTAAGTGGTTTGGGCTAAAAACTATTTGAATATTTTGGAATTATAATACCTGCAATTAATTCCAATTAATATTCAGAAAAAACAAATCCTATCCCTTCTTCTATTGGGCTTTATTTTTAAAATATAATCAAATATAAAAAAAATTTCCTTAATATCAAAGAAGTAAAATAAATATAGTAAAGTTGTTATAGCGATAAATTTTGCTAATGGGGAAGAAAATAAATAGAAAAGACCAGGGCTAGTCGCTACAAGAGGCTTGTCTTTAACGGATTTTATTTTAAAATCAGAAATGTTTAGAAACACAAATTTAATTATGTGCATTTTATAATGTGTATATTTGAGGCAAAAAAATTATATAACCTTAAGTTATTTAAAAAAATTTATGATAAAAATATGTTTTTTAGTCAAAAATTAATATGTTTTTACACAACAATATAAAGCCAATGACATATAATAATACCTAGACTGACAATTCATTCATTAAAAGTGTACATCAATACAAATCAGCTAGAGACGCCATCTTGGTTACTGTAATAAATATTAAAATTTTAAACGAGAGCCTAATTTTATATTATATCTGATGCAAACTTTATTAAAGAATTGCCTGATCATCGAGATAATAAGAAAGTAAGTTATCAATTTAATTTTAGTTTTTAACATGAAAATAATTATTATAAAGGTTACCAAAATGGCTGGTCCATTAACGACGCTTAAAAATGCATTTTAATGAATGAATCGTCAGTCTAGGTATTATTATATGTCATTGTATAAAGCGGTATAAAAATATGAAGAGTTTTTAAATAATAAAATTGGCATTATATGAAATTTAAAACTCTTTTCCTATTTCAGAAAGTTTAATAATCATATCATGTTTAAATATATATTTAGAGAGTATTAATCATATTGGTAGCTAGTAAAATCAGGGCTAAGTGGTTAAATTAGATTTAGTCGTTGTTTTGTAAATTCTTATATTTGTATTAATTAAATTATGTAAAAATATGATATATTTTTATAATGATATAAAATAAGTATTCATTGGCTACTATGATAGATTTAAATCAATTCTACATGATAATGTAATAGAATTATAAAATAAATATAAAAAAATTTTAACATTTTAAAATTTTAAAATTCAAAAAATATCATATTTTGTTCATTTCCATGTCAAATCAACCATCTTTCTACCGACCCCTTTAGATTTCGATTTTTGATGAAAATTTGTAGGCTCTATATATATATGTTGGCATAGATCATAATTTTAGCGCATTAGCAACTATATTAACGAAGCTAATTAAGATCGAATATTGAATCTCATATTAATAGCTAAGTTAATAATTGATCATTATGGCGGAAACATCAAAATTAATTTTTTTTTAAAAAATATGGGTCATCCTATAGTCAGTAGAAAATTTGAAATTAATATTTCGAAATGAATATGATCTCTAATTTTTAATTTTTTAAAAAATTATTATCCGTTTATTATTTTTATAATAATTTATTCAACAAATCGATATTTATTTTAAAAATATAGCAATTTTTATACTTTAAGAATAATAGATGGTCATATATAATAGTTTTAATCTGATAAAAGTCATTTTTTTTATTGCTTATAAATATTTTATTGTATAACCACAAAGTATGTGAACCGAGTAGAACCTCGTGATTTTGTGCTTATTAAATAGTATGTAAGTTATTACTAGTATATTGCTAAGATTCTAATTTATATTCGAATTGTTTTAAAGATTATTATCAATTAATTGATAATATTTTCAATATTTTTCGCTTATAAAACCTATAGATAAATTGAATCCAATATAAATTATTTACATCAAAATTTAATATTACTGATTGTGACACAACTATGAAGGGGCATAACCGAGTAAGTCTTGAGCGTCACTAGAAAATAAACCATTCTCTAGAACTCAATAAAATCAAATATTCTATATAAAACATATAATTCTGTAGGTTTGTATACAAAAGTGATCAAACCGATTTTTAGAGGTTCGAACAGAACCGATTTTTAGAGGTTCGAACCGAACCGATATTCGTTTCGATTCGGATCCCTAGATAAAAGTCATTTTTTTATTGATTTAAAATATTTAAGTGTGTATATTAGAGATCTGCAAAAGTAGGTTCGGCGCCTATATTTTTAAAAAAAATCGGGTTCGGGCTGTGTCGGGCTTAATTTTTAAGAAAATTCGGGTCTGGTGGCAAAACTTTTTTAAAAAAAATTTCGGGTTTTGCTGGGCTGAGTATTGTGGCTGGGCTTAAAAAATTAGGCCCGATGCAGCTCACTAGTGTATATATTATATACTAAATCAATCACTATGCATTATTATTCGTGAAATTTTTAAAATCTTTACAAATTTTGTCTAAAAATGGTTTATAAATAATTAAATTTATTTCATAAAGGAATACAAAGCCTATCTATCTCGTGAGAATTCTTGGGAGATGATATATGTTCTACTGGTGGGATTAAAGAATTGACCAGTGTTGGGCAAAACTAAAATATCATCTATCAGAGGAAATTTAAATTAGGCTGAAGGTCGACAGGGGTGTAAAAATCCGATTTTTATTTCTTCATTAGTATCAATTATAAATTATAACCATCATTTGTCATCATATAGACATGATACATATCCATTAATACTTTTAAATATAATTTCCTCATTTAAAAACGAAACTTGATTTATGTTGGTTTTTTTGAAATTTGATGTATTTGTTTTTTTAGTCTATTTTGATTAATGGGAATAATCCCGTCCCCTGTGTACTTTCAGTTTCATTTAAATTTCCTCATAGATGATATTTTAGTTTTGATCATATCTCATATTATCTCGCTGATCAATCCTTCTACCCCTCCGGACGAACATATATATATTATCTCCTGAAGAAATCTCACAAGCTAGCCATGCTTTGTATTCTTTTAGATAAAGTAAAATTAAATTAAATTATATCTATCATAATTAGGAAAAATTTGTGAAGATTTCAAAAATTTCATGATCTTAATTACAAATTAATATATATATATGATGGATTCGATAAAAAAATACCGGTTTAAGTTTGGTTTGAATCCCTGCTTTTATTAGCTTAAAACTATTATATAAAGCACCATCTATTTTTTTAAATAAATATCCAGCCGCCCTAATTTTTGAAGAAATTATCAAAAAATAGTTATGACAAATAAAAAATAGTTTTAATGTTTCCCCATAATTATCAACTATTGACTTAGCTATTAATAAATATTAGATTCAATATTCGATCTTATTTAGTTTTAAATTAAAAACTAGTTATTTAACATCAGTAAAAAGCAAAAAATACATTTTTTGGTCCTTTAACCCCAATTTGTCCGTTAACAAGTTGCTAATACGCTAACGTTTTGCTTATGATCTTATGTGAATATATATAACCAGTCTACAAATTTTTATCGCAATTAAAAGGGGTCATCTGAATTTATATGCAAATGGTATATTATACCCAATAAAATATTGTCCTTGAAAATAATGGAATAATAATATAAATTATTTATATAGGAGACTTAATAAACCATTTGAATCTACAAGCCCCGGTTGTGGCAAAAATTTACTTTTACATGGATCAATCTTGAGAATAAAATAAAATATTTTAAAAAATTTATCAATTAGGTAAGTGTTTGGGCTATCTCATGGTATTTTATAAATTCAAATACAATAATTATTTTAAGATTTAGGTTATTTCCAAACAACGTTTTTTTAAAGCGGTTGAGACATGTTTTCAGTAATTTTTTATTTCCAAACAAAGAATAATAATTGATCGAATTGATTTTTTATATAGTATAATATTTGTAAATAAACGTAAAGCTAAATGTATTTCCATTTAAAAGTTATATTCACATACTTTTTTTAGAAATGTATTTATATATATATTCTAGTACATTTTTATAATATTTGCCCAACTCGGAATATATTTTCAGCCATTAATTTTTTTTTCCAGTTCATACAAAGGATATCGATATTCTTCATGCCTCAAAAATATCAACCCGACTACATGTTTTTGCGGTCCGTTAAAACATATCGCGTTCACATATTTACAGCCATACAATTGTTATCACTAGCTGCGCTCTGGGCCATTAAATCATACAAGTCCATTTCCATATGCTTCCCCATTATGGTAGATACTTATAAATATGTCCTAATTTTTAAGCAATATGACACACAGGTAGTCGCACTGGTTGGCATTCGGAAGTTGATGGAGAAAATATTTACCCCCAGAGAACTCAGCATTTTGGACGACGTAATGCCCGAGGCAGAAAAAAAGCGAAAAAGTATGGATGTTTCTTTGATAAACGACAATAATGGTTCTTCTGACCCACGATTTACTCAAAAGTCCGCCAAAAATCGAGTTGGTTTGAGACACAAAGGTCGGCGATCTGTAAATAGCGGATTGATGGGCAGGATTCTCAGCCTTTTCCGATCTGAAACCGGTGTTTGTAAATATGAGCCCGTTAAAGCCGACGCAGCTACCCATGATGGGGACCGTGATGCTGTTAATTTATATATATTTTTCTAATTCTACTTTTTATGTAACGGGAGGGCTATTCGATAAGTTTTTTTTTCAGACGACCTTTTTATGGTTCATAAACATTTAATTACAAAGTTTAACTAATAGTTTGCATAGAATGTTTAGATTGATATCAAGACATAATATTGTTTTTTTCTCTTAATATTTTAATACATATATTGAACTGAATGAGATCGGATATTATGAGAAGGTGTTTGGGCGTTAAAAATTATTTATTACACCAATTTATAGGACAATGCCCTTATAAAAGTTTCAATAAGGCCTCAGAATTTAGATATTGAATCGAACAATTTTGACGAAGAGACCAAACATTTTGATAAAGACAGTGATGCTGAAGTAGAGATTTATATATTGTTTAAGATATAAAATGGCATTTCAAATATTATTTTATTCAATTTTTATATTGCACAGATGCCTCATTTTGTGAAATTTCTTAATCTATAGGTAGTGTGTTTAAATTGCTTGGTTGGGCCGAATTGGCATGATTTTTGGTCGAAAAAATGAACTAGAACCAACCCATCCAAATAGATCGATCTGTCCACCAAATGCATGGACCCGAGCACCAACCCAAACTAACTTATTAATATGATATTTTTGAATTTTTTGCTCAATCATATTTTTATGCATAGAGGACGAGTATTTCAATATTAGTATAGAAATAAATATCTTTAGAATTATTTTTTTTAAATTGTTCTCTTATATTTATTTGATAATTTTTACTTAGAACTCTAGTTGATTCGAGTTTTGATCGAATTTAAAAACTAGAGGACAAGTAGTTCAATTCAATATTAATTAAATATTTTGCATCGAATTCGAAATAATTATCTTCCAGGACCGGGCTAACTTTATTATAGGAATTTATCGGTTTTAGATATTTATAATACATAAATCATCAAAAAAATGTAAGTAATATATGTTTATTTAATTAATAATTTTCGAGGTCTGACCTAAAGTCGTAAAAATTGGCTTAGGCTCAAGCCGACTAGATGAGGTGGCTTTGGTTCGAATCGGCTCAGGAGTTGGATTCTTCTTAATATTTTTCTTTAGTTAGTTGGCTCAAGTTTAATTTTGAGTCAATATGTATTTATGTTTTTAACCCTAATTCGCTATTGGATATTACGACAAAAATTAATTGCTTATTATATAACGAAAAATTGCCTTCCCATCAAAATATTTTGCAATGTTGGCTATCAAAAAAATTTCAATGACCTGTATTATATACCCTCTAGCGAATAGTTCTAGCCGATTCTTTCTAGCAAGTATCGATGGAAAGATGCTTCGCACTACGATTAAGTAACCCCATTACGAACTCGATTAGACAAAGATACTTTATACGATATTTTAATCATCACACTTAATAAAAATTTGTTAAGGTTATCTTTTGATTTTTGATATTCATTTATCCATTATTAATATTTGTGAATAATTATATATAGTCTTAAAATAAATAAAATAATTTTAATGAAATTGTTACAATAAGGGGTACTAATTTTGAAATGACATCATCAAAAAAGGTGGGGCAGACATTTTTCGAACTCCTTAATTTAAAAGAATTTTTTAATGCGACTAGCATTTCGGTAATAATTATATTTTTTGCTTAAAACTAATAATATAGAGAGTTACAAAATGTCAATAATGATAAAATCAGAAAATATCGTAATTTTTACCACTCTAAATAAATTATTTTGGATTGGATCTATAAAAAAAAAACTTCTCCGATCATTGCATAAGACGAAATAGAAATTTTAAAAAATATTTTTTTTTATAAAAACATAAATTTATTATTAGGTATAACATTGTTATCCTATCCTTATAAGAACACTATACCTTTCCAAAATCTTATGATTTTGATAGTTTTGATAGAATTTTTACCGGCCATTTAAAAATAAATAAAAAATAGATCTTATCATTTGACAACCATAATATTTTTTTTAACAAAACAATTATTTATTTTAAGATAATTAGAAATATTAAAACAAAATTGGACAGATCTTGTACAAAATACTAGTTTGATTTAAATCTTATTTAATTCTAATAAATTTAATAGTAATTGGTTGGGTATTTTCTGGTTCATTTTTTCTACCAAAAACCAGGGTCGTGGTGGTGTAAAACCAACTATTTAACCATACATAGGTATTATTATATAAAAATTTTGCATCAACTAATCTAAAAATTGTCCATCTTAGAACAATAGGAAAAGACATAATTAATCATTTTTTTAAAAAATAATCTTCATAAATTATTAGAACACTACCCATGTTGTAACGAATTCTTTAAATGGCGGATCAAGTGATACTAAAATCTTATTGTCACCGCATATAGATGTTAAAGTTTCATTATTGGGAAACGTCAACTCAGGTTTAAAATTCGCAAAATGAATATAAATAATTTATAAACTCCAATATTTTATTTCAAATTTAACCTAAAATTTCCAAAATAATTTTTTATAAGTAATTATTTTGTAATTTCCATCAAAGCTAAAAGAGACTTATTACAAGTAACCCCGGCGAAGGATTCTACCTTCGTCAGCAGATTTCTCTCGAAATTTGCATACACTATTTCTTAAGCATTCACTCCTCTTTAGTATGATGGTTTTCTTTTTTAAATTTTTTTTTTATTTTGATATCAATTATAAAAAAATCTTTCAAGGTGAAATCACAATTTTTTTTATAAAAAATATTTTTGCTTAGAAAAATTTTCAACTTTGATTTATAGTTTTTTTATCCTAAGGTTGTGTCCTGGTTCGACTTATTTCTAAACAGTCTAAAATGTAAAAGACTATTTTGATTTAATTATGCCACTCATTTAATTTTATAGATAAAGACTGTATATATGATATATCAATATAGTAAAAGGAGAAACTATGAGGGATGGAAATAACCAAAAAATTTAACAAAAAAAGATATTTAAAAACAACAGAAAAAAAATTGAAAAATAAACAAAACAATGCCACTAAAAACAAACTAAAATAGGGTACCCTAGTTACAAAGCTGTTTAGTCTGGGCCAAATAGCAAAGAAGGAAATTTCGATTTTGGACACTACTGCTTTAAAAACTATATTTTTTTTTATTAAAATATTTTTCTCCTCTCAATAATAAAAATGACAGTCAGAAATAAATTACCCCAGGTGTCATCCTTGACCGACACCATGAATATTACCCGTGAAGTTGAACGAACGGCAGTGTGGAAATCACTAGCTAAGGAAAAGTTCATAACAAACGCGTCAGCTTCCGCTATCAACGTATTGGAGAATCAAATGATCCCAGTTTCGGGCACCAATCCAAAGATCCACCAACATTATCATAAACACCATCATAAACAACATCATTCTCATCAAAATCATTCAGATAAATGGGGAGTTCAAGATTACGAGTAAAAAAATATATTTAGTTATTATTTTTTTTTATCGCCCTTCCCGAAATTATTGATTAAAAAAATATATACTAAACGCATTTTTATAAAGTTAAATAAAATAAATATTCCTAATCGTCTTAATCTGGGTTCTGAACCCAACAAAATTTACACCTATTTGGTATAGGTCCAGATTTGAAATTTTAAAAAAAGAATTTGGTACGTGTCCAGGTTCTAAAATAATTTAAAATGGGAACTTTTGCCAAGTCCAGGCAGACATAATCCAGATTAAGTTCGATCGAGGTCCGGGATAATTAAGTATTAATCAGGTTTTTAGGTAAGGGTTCGATACATGCTCATGATGTTGATATTAGAAGTAAAATGTCATTTTCTTCTTGAAAATTTATTCATCCTGCACGGTTTAATGATAATTTAGACTGCTGTTACTTGGAGAAAAAAAAATGTTTTGAGCAAAATTTACATTCATAAATTCCAATATTTCCCTTTTTCTCAAGTTATAAAAGTTGTATACATGATGAGATTTGTATCATGGCATATTTTAATTTAAAGAATAAAGAATTAAATTAACTGAAAATTTTTTAGTTAAAAATAATTGCTAATTTTTTAATTTCCTTTGTTTATTAAACATCCTCACCCACCCCTTACTTAACTATTTTATAGTATTATAAACGAACGCGTTTCATGAACGAAGTTTGTTTTTTTGACAAAAATGATGAACGGCGTTCCTTTTATTTTTGACGAACTTAGAGCGTGAACGCGTTCCTTTTTTATGACGAACGCGTTCGAATTTAACGTTCGTTCAATTTTAAATATACTATTTATTTGAAAAATTTAATATTAATTGATTTTTTTAAGAAAAAATCTTATATTTTATAATCAGTTTTCCTTTTTCACATTTCAATTTTTTTGACACGCCATTATTATAGTTTATTAATTTGAATATTATTGTTTATATTTTAATTTAATAGATTAGCATAAGCTTGGATATTATTATTTCATCATCATCTGATTCTGAAAATTCAAAATCAGATGAATTAACATTACCATAGCCCAAACATGATAATTATTTACAGTAACTAATTCAATACTTACCAAATGTAAAATATGTCCAAAAAGTATTATATCAGTTTCAAAATCTTCAAGTTCCAATTTAAATCGGTTGTAATATTAATTATTTCATTTTATATAATATAGCTATGTAAAATCATTAAATTTGAAGAAAAAATCTTTTTAGAAATTTGACCCCAACAATAACGATAGTTATTTTAAAATTAAAAAAAAATTAGTGGCCTAAAATATTGTCAATATTTATAGACGCAGTCAGTGGCGTAGACAGGGAGGGAGGGGGCGTTTGGGCGTGAAACCCCTCCCTCCCTCATAGCCTCCGAAAAAAAAATTTTAGAAAATTATTTTAAATTTTTTTCCCATTGCCAATAACTTTATTTATAAAACGGTTTCAATTTGTAAATAAAATTATATACGATATCAAAATGAAATATTTTTTAAAAAAAACAAATAAGAATTTTCAATTATAAATGATAACATGGTTTAAATATATATATTAAAAACTATATGTAAAATATTAAATAACAATAAAAATATATTTTAAATTTTTTCTGGCATAGTTAAATTAGATATTTATAAATTTAATAATAAAATTTATATTGTTTAACTAATAAGATAGTTTTAAAAATTTTAATTAAGAATTTTTTTTACTTACTACACCGAATGGATTGAATTAATTTACAATTTACTAAACATTGATAAAATTTTCAGAATAATGCTGAGTTTTAAAAATATTTTGCGGAGAATCATAAATTTGTCCAAAATTTTGTTACTAATTTTTTTTTCATTTATGCTGGCTACTATAGTGGTTAGACACTAATAACCCATAAAATATTGGCATCTCCAAAGAATGATGAAAAAAATAGATGGCACTTTATAAATTACAAATTATCGGTAAAATTTTGCTGCTAACTTATCAATAACCGGATATTTTCACTTTTTATACTAAAAAATTTGAATTTCTATTAAATATACTAATTAAACTGAGGAGCAGAGTGGGCATATGCCCATTAAACACTTAATAATGTAACAAATTTCCAATAATAAATATCTTTCATATAATTTTTAAGGTATCTAGAATTTCATCGAATTTTTCATATTTTGATGAAGATAATGGTATAATTTTAGTCGTTAAAACTTTTATTAATCTAGATATTTTTTTCATCGAATATTGCTTTTCACATAAGCTATTTCTTTTAATGAGATTCCCCATTTGATTGTAAGGATATATTAATGTTATCAATAGCCTCTTGATTAATTATATGAGGTGGAGAATCAATATCTACATTGTCATTTGAAGTATAAGGAATGTTTGCTAATTTTGTTATACATTATCGAGCTAATAAGTCATTCGCTATAGTATCAAATTAGAGGTCTAAAAAATGTAAAACATTTTAAGGAAAGTGGGAGGGGGGGCAGAACTGAAAAATTTTATCACATAGTATTTTTCAACCATTAGCGTCATCTACTTTTTTCTTCAATTTTTGATAAAAATGTATTTCGGAAAAGTCGATAGCGTCGCTAATGTTTTGACATCATATATATATTAATAAAAGGTGTCTAAATAAAAAGCAAAAAAAAATTCGAAAACAAACTCCCTTTTTTGCTTAAAAATACAGGTGAAGCAAGATAGGTAAACCGGAAGTTAAAGACTCGAATTGGCGCCAATTTATATTATATTTTTGATAGCCCTTTAGAAATTTATTTTATCTACAATATGATATATTATACATTTTTTTACTATAAATAGTTTTTGAGATATAAGCATTATAAAAATTTTACAGATTCCAAAGTGGCTCTTTTTTGTACTTTTGAAACCCTGTATCTCGGGAACCAGGTGTGCTAGCTAGCTAAAATAAACGGCTTTCTCATTTATATACCTATCTAAATAATTCCAGAAATTTTTAACAATTTTAAAAGGGGTCGGCCGAAAATGTGCCTTTTTTGATCGATTTGACATGGAATGACTAATCAAGTTAATCAGATGTATTATAATGCATTAGGAGTAAAATAAAAAATCAAGTTTGGATGTAACCTAACAGTTTTTACTTTTGTTAGAAATTAATCGTAAAATGACCAATTCTTGAAATCGAGTTCGATCTTGGATGGAAAAATGGGATTCGGGTTCGACCTTGAACCCCGATCCTAATACTAGTGAACTTTTTATTTTAATGAAAAAAGGTATCTAATTTTAGAAATTTTTTATATTTGTTCTAAGCATGGTCCTGTTTGCATACATTTTTAAAAAAATAGGCTCGAGCCCGGTCCAATTTTTAAAATGTGGAACTATAGACTTAATAAGAATCGATTAGTGTATTATTGGTATTGATACGAATATATAAAATTTACTGTTTATATTTGATTCGGAATTCGTTTTTTAAATATAAAATATTTCACACGGAAATATATTGACAGAATTTTTTTTATTACGCGTCTAATTTTAAACAGAAAAAATTATTATAATATTATTATGAACGAATTAAAATGCATATTTATTTATGATTCCAGCCAATTTTTTAGGCAGTTTATCTTATTTCCTATTTTTTTTATTTTTCACAAACCGTGTCCCCCTTTTTTAAAATATTTTTATTTGAATAGATAAATACTTTATTTAAAACAAATTTTCACAAATTATTCTTTTACAAATTATAATTAAAAAAATATATATAAAAGAACTGAGGGAAAAAAAAATTTTAAAAAAAGGGTACAAATCACCCTAGAGAAGAGTGAATGCTTAAAAAATTGGACGGCAGATTTCCAGGGAAATCTGTAAAATCCTTCATTGGGGTCCCCTGAGATCTGTCTCATTTTTTTTCCTATTGAGAGCATCACTTCCGAACATGCCTAGGGTATTGATAACGATTGGGATAAACAAGGTGTTGGTAAGGCAAGCATATTTGTTTTTTTTTATAATTTCGGCCTTTTCGATGGCAGAAAATGAGAGGTTGGACTTGGCGGCAAAATCAACACAGGTATAGTCCCAAGCAAGTGGGAGACCATTGGTCCAGGAAATGAGATATGCCATCAGGGCCTATGGCGCTTTCGTTTGAGAGGCCCACTGGTTCGAGGGTGGATGGAATATAACTTTTTTAAGAGCAGCTAGGAGAATATTGTTAATAGATATATGACGCGGTTGTCGTCCATGGGAGAACTTGCAGTGCAAGGGATGGTAAGCTTTCGATGGGATGGCCGCAGTCGATGCAGATGGAGGGAACCAGAGTTTTACAGCCAAGGCGGAGGGCTATGGAAATGCGTAGCTGTTCGCCAGTCAAGAGGAGGCCAAGATTGAAACTGGGGATGGCTTCCAGCCATTCGTAACCTGAGCTTGCATATAATACTAAATTATTGGGATTGTCCTCAAAGGGCCTGTTCAAAATAAGGTATTCAACGGAACGGGCGATTAGAGGAGCATCTCAGTCTTTTTGAATGCTGGAAGCGGGACGACAAAGGGTGGGTGAGCAGTTGCTGTCCCAAAAGGTGAAGGCCTGGGAGTGGGTCCATTATCGATGATAGATTTAGCAGCAAGACGAGATGAGATAAAGGCTGAGAGGGAAAGTTATATCGGGGATCGGATACCAATACCACCAGACTTGCTGGGAAGGGTGGCCTGAAGCCAAGATGAATTGGAAAATTTAAGGTTTAATATGTTTTCAAGAAGACCCTTAATTTGGGTTTCATGGGAAACGATGCAAGTCGCGGCATTACTATGTAGCTTAGTATTATTATTTGAAAAATCTATACATTTCCTAATTAACTATAATCTCTATTTATTTTATTTTAATGTATTACTTATACTTATAAAATATGCAAATAGATATATAATATAGGCATAATAAGTGTAGTAATGTTTATTGTATTACAAGTAGAAAAATGTAATGTAAATTATAAAACAATAATATGGAATTGCAGTCTAGAAAAACTAGAAATAAATTGTATATAATAATTTTTGTGATATATAAGAAAGCATTGTAATATTAGTAAAAATATAAATGTTTAATGAATAAATATTAAATTTAAATCACAAATTTTAAACATAGCTAATATATTGTTTTTAAAAAAATACAAGGCATTTATTTATCTTAGGTTACGGGTGAGGCAAAATAATTTGGTCTCCAAACCAGGCCCCTCAAAAATAAAAATTTACCCCCAAATTTGAAAATAAATATTTCGTTTTATTTTAAGATTAAATCAAAATAAAAATACAACAAAATTATATAGAAAACATTATTTAATTTATACAAATTAAAAAACAAGTTGTGAAAATATGACCATAATTTTCATTATATTTTTTTGTAGAGAAATCCAAAATATTTAATAGGAACCATTAATTCACATTTCAAAACAACTTATTGAATTAAGTGTCAATTCATAGAATATAATAAACGAGGCATATGATGTGCAAACGTCATGTCTGGCCGAAATGGAAAAGTACAAACCCTGCTTCAAAAAACCCTAACAAAAAAGTAAAGTGTTTCAAGATTTCAATATGAGTTTTTTGTTTGAGAGAGGCAAATAAAGTTTTTTAAATGCACATTGAAACATAGGATATTGAGCTCTTTATATGGCTGGAAACGGAGTCGTCGGAACCCTGGAGAACTAACGTAAGCCAAGATAGTTTAGCCGTATCTAGAAGTGGATCGTTTAACTCAGTAAGCGACGAAATGAGTCAAAATATGCTAGATGAAAGGAAACAAGCAATTGCCATTTCCGGGGGGGTTTAAATCCAAGTCTCCCTTGAAAGCTTACAAAATGGACCAATTAAAATAAGAAAGCTTTAGGACTAGATAGGATTTGATGAAATGTTTAAATTTTAATTTTAAAGACTTAAAAGGCCAAGGAAGATTTAAAGATGTGCAAGAATTTCGGTAAGAAAAAGCATTTTTAGGTTATGAAGATTCTTTAGCGATTAAAAAGTGAATCAAAAAATTTTGACAAAAGGAATTTGAAAACCAGATAGGAGAGCCTAAAAGACAGTTCCTCTTGGGGAATGATTTTAAAATCTGGGGGAGGGAATATCCTCATTGTTAATGAAGGATATTTCGCATTTTTTTTTTATTTAAGGAAAGATTAATTTTCGAAACTTCCATCTTAACGTACTCGATCCCCAAAATCTATTTGAAATCATCCTTTAGATTTTTGATCAAATCATGAATACATACAATAAAGAGCAAGGGACCTAGTGAATCGCCTTGCTGCATCCCTTCCCGTGAAGGAAAACATCTTAAATTTGAGTAACGAGGGAAATCAGAAAATTTTCATATTTGGGTTGTCATTAAATGATATATTGGTTGCATTGCTATAATTTACTTTAATTATTTGTTTATACATAAATGTTTATAATAAATTATCACTAATAATAATGATTATTTATATTGCATTAAAATAAAACAAATTTATACCACTTACTTATTTCAATACTTTTTCTGTTAATAAATGAAAAATAATCTTAATTTATCGTTTTAAAATAAAGTTTTATAGTATTAAATGATATATTAGCTGAAAAACGAACCGTAAAATGCCAAATACGTATAATTTTTTTTAATCCAACCTGATTTTTTACAATAAACCCGAGCCCTGAACATTTTTATAACCCCGGGCCGTAAAATTCTTTTTAAAGTATTCGGGCCGGGCTTGAAAATATAAAACCTGGACCGGGCCAAAAAAATTTACAAGGCCGGGCCATGATATTAGTACTTCCGCTGGTCTCTGCCTTTTACCAAAAAATTGCAGAAACATTTACAGGGAGTCGTTAAAAAGATTTTAAAGTATGTTTAAATATATCAAAGCTCTAAATCGGAAAATAAACCCTTCTTTCAAGCACCCGATAAATTCAGCATTAGAATAGGATCTGACGATGAAGATGATGGGGTTGTCATGATCGGCCAAAGATATCGTACCAATGAAGAAGCCATTTTAGATGTAATCCATAATTATTTTATCTTTTTTAATTCATTTTCAATTTTGATGATGCTCTAAAGAAAAAATATTTGCTTAGTAAAAGTAAATAAGCAATAATTTATAAAAAAAATATAGAACAGTGCATCAAGACACGATATATTTTACTTTGCTATTTAAATATCATTTTATTGTATCATGTTATTACAAGCCCGCTAAAATATCAATCAATAATCAAATTTCATACGAACCTGACACTTGTTTACATAATCAAAGATACCCGGATCAAACTCCATTGGTGCAATTACACTCGAAAAATAAAAATAGTTTCACATTAAATGGCAAAAAAGGCGCGTCTAGAGATGAGGGAAATAACGAAAATTTTGATCATTCTAGGGTTACTGACCCGAAGAATATTTCATTGTTGCCCTAGGCCCTATAAATTAGATTTTGTACCTATCGCTATCAAAACTTAAGCATCCGTGTTTATATAATTAGCCAAATAATATTTTACTTGATTTTAACGTTGTTTAGTTATATTCTTGTTATCCTCATAATACTTCCTTCGTATTTAATTTCATACTCGCTTATAAAAAAATTTATTTAAATAATATAATATCTTATGTGATTTTAATTATTCAATTTTTTCGAATATCTACCTATTTTTAAGTATACATAATATTATATAAGTTTTCGCGTATCCATATATTTTCTAAAAAATTAACAAATTCATTGAAAGTTTTATGCACTCAATTTTTCCAAACCTCGATGCTAGAATTATATAGCTATCAAAAAAGATGAATAATAGTTTTTTTCAAAATATTTATCGTGCAATTTATTGGATCAAAACGATTTTTCTAATTGATATTTATTTAAAAAATTGTTTTTTTTAAATTTCTTATAAATAAAATCATAGTCTTTGTTATTGTTATTGTATTTTTATCATTTATAAAAATTGGGTATCGAAAATCAATAAAAAAATGGATAAATAATAGAGGGTTCAATTTTATAAAATATATAAATAACTTTTATTTTATTTAAAGTGATAACAATAAAGATCAAAATGATAAAATCAACAATTATTTTTTCGAACAACGTGAAAAACTGGCACTATTTGATATACATCTTAACGTAGGCTTCAACTAAAGCTAATATTTTGGTAGGGTTGATTTTTCCACTTCTGCAAATCTAATAGAAAAAAAGAATGAAATATTTTGTTATAAATCTATCAGCATCATTATCAATATATATGATTATGTAGTTACTAGCGCGTACGCAGCGCCCCTCCCCCTTATCAAAGCCAAAAAATGCAGATGCCGGATATATATCAAAAATAAATATTTATTCCTATCTCTTTCTTTTTAAATATATATTTAATTAATCACATTCATTTACTAAGTTATTTTATCAATTAATTTCGATTTCAAGTCTTCCTTGGCGTAATATTTACCTATTATTTTCAAATTTCTAGTCAAATAATAATTAAGGACATAAGAAATTGTTTTAAACATATTGATGATAATGAAAATCCTAGTCATCTTACAAAAAAGCACAAATAATTTTATAACATTTATTATTAACCTAGAAGAAAGACATATACTTCTTAAAAAGGTATTAAGATACCTATGATAAATATTTTATTTAATAATAGAATTACATTCAACCTCTCAATTTCCAATATCCACAAACTTTATGTGCTAATCGAAAGTTAAAATTTCAAAACAGCTATTTTACTAGATGGCTAACATACTCTATCCGAGACATTGGAGCTTATTTCAAGATATGTATCCTGTTTGGCCTAAGATATGATGGAAGAAATTTATTTAATAACCGTCTTGTTAAAACTATTAAACAAGTACAAAGATGCTGGAGAAATCTTAACAAATTATCACAAAAGCTGTGAAATGATTTCTTCAAATTCAAAGTAGGGATATGATTCCCATTTCATCACATATTGATAAAAATAGAATTAAAATAACAAAAGAAAATAGATGTAAGATCAAACTAACTATTGAGGCCATTCTTTATTGTGGAATGCAGGGCATAGAATTACGTGGCAATTTGGATTCAGGAAGCTTGAATTTATAATGAAGGTAATTTTCGTGGTTTCGTAAAATTTAAAGAATTAGGGGATTCTGCATTAATGGAATATTCCAAGCGACAAAATATTTTAAACAAAATTATTTCTCAAACTCCTTGTCCAACAAGGAGAAAGAAATTGCAAAAAGATTGTCCAGCAAGATGAAGTCTTCGCCATCAAGCAGTAACAGCTTTTATGAAGTTAGAAGAACAGATTATTAATGCTCTTACTGAAATATCACAATGGCCTGAAATAGATATTTCCTTAAAGTAAATTATTGGATTCAATACTTATACCAAATTTTTCCTCATTAGAATGTAATAATAAATTAATTAATTACACTTATTTTATTTAATACTTTTCAAAAACAAGACATTGGCTTGATTGAGACTATGAGGATAGCGGGGAGCATTTTATTAGAACTCAAGGAAATTAGGTCTATTGTTGATGAAGAATTTCATATTTTATGTTATTGTTGAGTCAAAAGTAGAGCTATACGAGTTTAATTGTCTCCCTCGACTTGCAGCAAGGCATGTTCATCGTCCAAACATTAATATAGGGTCAGTAGAAGAGTATTATAAAATAAATGACTTTATTCCTTTCTTAGATACATTTATAACCCATATAAATGAACGGTTTTAAATTCATCGGGCAGCACTTACCAATCTGCAGATATTACTTCGACAAAAACCTTCCCAACCTTTTTCAGATGGTGATAGAAAAAAATATATATATTTAGCAGATTTTTATCAAGAAGAAAGTATCTCATGATGCCTTATTAGCTGAATGCCAACTATGGTGATCGATTCCCAAAAAAGGCTATGGATGCTTTGCATCATTTCAAACATCTTTTAGATTATTTTCCCAATGTATTAAAATTATTATATATATATATATTAGCAACTCTTCCCATTAGTACTGCAACTAATGAGAGAACATTCTCTTTTTAAGAAGAATAAAAACATACCTAAGAAGTACAACTTCTGAAAGTAGATCGAATAGTTTGGCCCTTTTAAATATTCGTAAATATTTGACGCCAAGCACGGATAAGAAAATTGAAAAATTAACTCAATCCCAACGAAGATTGGATTTTACATTATAAATATATAATAGGCTTCAATATTATTTGTGCACATTTATTTTTTAATGTGTTATATATTTCTTCATGAATACTTTATAAGTTATTACATACAAAATACAATTATTCCTAAGAAACTTGTGTATTATTTTATATTACCAACATTTAAATTTTTTATACTTTATATTTAAAGGCTAAAAATTAAGTTTCTATTGGGTCATTTATTTTATAGTGATATGCTGGTTATATCCACTTAATATTTTATAATTCACATTTATTTTGTAGTTTTTTATATGCCGGTTTATATATTTAATTTTTTATAATTCACATTAATTTAAAATTGTATATTAGAAATAGTTATCAGTCCTAATAAATTTATGTTTGATATTTTTAAATAACAATAATTTTATCTTAAAAAAATTTAATTATCCCCCTCCCCTACAGCAAATTCATGCGTACGCGCCTGTGTAGTTAAGTGGTTTAATCTGAACCTCACTAATTTGGTTCTAAATGTGCGAAATCAAACATTAGGGTTCTGTTAAAAACACATTTGATTAAAAAATCGGTATTTATTACTTAGGATGAGATGGTTTTTTAAAATATTTTGTACCTTGATTACAGCTCGTTTCATAATATCTTTGTATTGTTGTTTATCGATCTCACCTTTATTGTAAAAAGGCTTTAACGCTACTTTAACTTCTTCGGCAACTCGTTGTTGGTGATTCAATTTTTGAAAATACTTCAATATTAAACAATTCGTTTATTTAGCAGTAATTGAGTTTTTATTTATTAAAAAAACTTTCTTTACATTTCTGACATAAATTATAATTATAAGTTTTAAATATAGGTGAATAATTAAAAGCTCCAATATTTTTATGAAATGTTAACTATTTTTTGATATCATATATTTTTTTAATTTTTAGTAGTATAAAATTAATATTTAGTCAAAATAAATAATAGAATATGAGTATTAAAGTTTTTGATTAGTAAAAAAATCTATTTTTATAACTAATAATAATTTGACTAGTGATGGAGCTCTAATATGTAATTACGAAAAAATCGTGGTTTGAGTGGAACCTGTGGCTAAGAGATTTTTTATCCTGTAAAGTTTTATATTAATCTCGACGAGGTTAAGGTAGGAATAATATGTTAGAAATATATGTAGTAAGATAATATAAGAAGGGCTCATATTTAATCGGTCAGAATTAAAATTGAAATACTAAGAATAAAAAAACTTTAAACGCTCAGAATAAATACTGAATACTCAGAATTAAAACGTAGCCTCACTGATAAAATTAATAAAATACCTACTATTTTGTTATTATACTGAGAAAATATTTTTGAAAATACTGGAGAAATAAATAATAGTCATTACATACTTCGGATACAATTAAAATTAATAAATATAAGCACGTGAATCAAATTTGACCTTTTCTCTTTTCCATAAATGGGTAGCAGAATCGGGAACTTCTTCGTTTCTAGCCAAATTAATATTTCGATTAACCGTTCTGTCATTATTATTCTCAACTTCAATTACGTTATCTACCACGTCTAATAAACTCGTGTTCGATATTTCGGCTAAAAAAATATAAAGAAATATATCGAAAAACTTGAAAACATCTTAATTAAACATTTCAAAATTTGCATTTATTGTTTATAAATATAAGAGAACTGGAAGCCCGCGCCAAGGCCGCTCGGATGTAAAATACTTTTTAAAAATATTCAAAACGCCCAAAGCACATAGCTAATAAATTTATATAAAATTTGTGCATATTTATTCTGTTGTATTTCTATTCAACTGGCTTAACAAAATAAATATAAAACTCATCTTGAAAATTTGTATAAAATTTATTAAGAAAATGTTTTAATTAATTAAAATTACTATCCCACCCAGTTTGCTCTCCATTACAACTTTCTCTTCGATGTCTGTAAATTGCTTTCACCCGGCCCGATTCCGATTTTTCGTTAAATTTGTCCGGCCCAATTATTTAAAAATTTACGTGAAAAATTGGGATAAAATTAAAATTCAAGATTATGATCAAATGTAATCCTTATTTGGTTAAATTTTTTGTCAAGCCCGCTCTTATATTCTTCCACCGGTCTTACCACAAATTAACTTTTTCTGGTTTTGCCCGGCGCGGCACTAGCTTGCCCATATGAAGAAAATACAAATATTTTATTTGAAGTATAGATAAATATATGGTGAATTCCATATCAAATCAACCAAGGTTTCAACCCTACCCCTTCAATATTATTTAAATTTTGATGATTTTATTATAGGAGCATGTGAAGTCATTTTGTCGGAAGATGATTGGTGCCAAATAAAGGGCCTTACTAGTGTATTAGTTCCTTTAAAAATAACAATATTAAGATTACAATCGGAACAATTATGTTTATTTGATTTTAAGGCATATGAATTAGATGACAATTAGATTTAGAAAAATTTACAGTCCTTTTTTTATATACGAAATATTAGAAAACATGAAAATTAGAGAGCAACAATATTTCCAAAATAGTATTGCATATACTTCCATTTTAGACCCTCGATAACAAGTTTTATTGAGTATTGAGCAAAAACAAATGGCTAAAGATCATCTTAAGGATTTATGGCATAAGCAAAACTCCATTATTTACAATATATTGGAAACTACGACAATACCTATTGGTTGTAGTGTTAATAACAATAATGATAGCAGCATTGATGATCTTGATATTTTATTTTAGATAGAGAAAAAAAAATCAAATTATCATCAGATAGAAAGGAGGATCTTAATAGTAAAGTTCTCAGAAGTTAAGAAAATAAATAAGGATATAAATATTTTAAAATTCTGGGAAGAAAATTTTTCAATATATCCAGAATTATATATCTTATCTAGAATCTTCATGGCTGTACCGGCGACACAAGTACAATAATTTTATAAAGATAACTATCTATTTTAGGTAAGGGTAGAACGTGAATTTTCATATTTGAAATATATATTGTCTACTTTACGTGGAAATCCTCAAGGATGACATATATAAGATATTATGATTGTGCGAGAATAAAACATTTAAATTTATGCTTATAAAATCATGTGTAAGTTATTACTAGTATATTGCAAAAATTTTAATTATATTCGAATTGTTTTGAAGATTATTATCAATCACATTTGATTGATAAGTGTCCGTCATAATTTTTATAAATATAGTATATTGCTAATTTATTTTTTAAATATTTTAAGCTTATGAATTATAATGCCTAAATTAAATCCAATATATAAAATATTTACATATAGTATTATAAATGACACATCAAAATGTAATATTACTGATTGTCAAATAAATGTGAAAAGCCACCATGGAGCAAATCTTGAGCGCCAAAAGAACCACTCTTCTAGATTTAGATAAAATTAACAAAATATCACAACAAAAGCCTAATAAAATAAAAAAGTTAGATCTCATCAACTCAACAGACGATAGAAGAAACATTAAAAGAACAAACAATAAATCTAAATAAAGAAATAATAGAAGCTTGTACTGAGTTGGTCATTTTTAACAGCAGACCACTCAAGTATCATAATGAACTTTATTTTACAGCTTTGGAATGGGAAGCAATTATAAGGTTTATAAACATCCTATAACCAAAAGTAGCTATACGAGCTACTTAAGCTAACTTTAAGGGATTTTTATGGCATATGGCTAAAAACTAAATTAGAAATTTCTATTTTTATTTCACACTATGTTCAATAATAGATATGAATTTTAGAGAAACAACTTTTAAACAACAATGCCTTTTTGTCATACTTATATCTAGATTTAAGATATTAATAATATTATATTATATCTTATAAATTTAATTAATACTTTTATTTTACTTTATATAATTTTCCATCTATTCATAAAAAATAATAAGATCTTTTTAATGATATTTTTAATTTCAATTATATGGATATAAAATGCTTCTGACTGAAGAAGAAAAAACCAGGCTAGAGAGCATATTATTAAAATATGGCATAACATGGAATTAAACTTTATTATGAGTAGAATTCTAGTAAAGGTGAATCAAAGCCGGTTAATATATCTTCATATGAAGAGGATTTAGTAGAAACTCTTCTAAAAAAAAAAGATAGTAACAAACAAAATCTGTTACAAAAATCGGAGATTATTAGAAATGTTTTAGTTAATTATTCTAAATAACCTAGGATTTTAGACTATTGGAGAAATCAGAGTAATTGATACTCAGAATTATGTAAATCGTCTGATATCATACTAGTGCCGGCTACCCAAGTTAGTGTGAAAATATGTTTTTCAACCATTAAATTTATACTATCTCCCTATAGATATAATTTGAGTGAGATGAATCTTGAAAATATATTAATTGTGCGGCTTAATAAAAAAATTTTAAGTAAATAAAGTTAAATATTGTTCATATTAAAATTAATCATTGATATTTATTTGTTATATTTAAAAATTAAATATTATTTTATAATGTGCAATTAATAAAAATGAAGGTTTTACGTGTGTTTTTTATTTTAATGATGAAATAATAAAAAAATTCTTCCCTATACATAATTCAAATGTAGGTTTGAATACAAAAGTTTTCAAACCGGTTTTTAGAGGTTCAAACCGAACCGATATTTTTATTTTTTATGAACCGAACCTTGAACCGTTATTTTTATGCGATACTGAACCGATATTCGTTTCGGTTTGGATCCCTGGTTATAAGAGCCCTTTGTTATATTTTATAAATAGAATTAGAGCGTCATTTGTAGAGAAATAGAGAAGGAATAATGGCCAATTCAAATTTATTAAATATAAGGGTAAAATTACTTATTCAGAGGTTGGAAATGCTTTAAATCTGGATAATTTATTCTATAAGAAGTTTAGAGATTTTTTTTATTTATAATGTTCACTGAATACATATTCTTCCGAGAAGATAGTGTCGAATCAGAAATAGAAGTATCTGGTGATTTTTCTGTTTGCAAAACTAATATTCAAAAACAAATGTGGAGAATTTCTAAGGAAAATACTTCGAAACATTCTCCGTAGATAGATTCAATTTTTAAATATCTCCCCAAATTTTATATTATTACTTTATCTTGTATTCTTAACCATCCAAAGTAAAAGGCGCTTTTAGATACTCAAATTTATATTAACATCATCGCATACATATAAAAAACAATCTTTTGAGAATGGTGAATATTTAGTTGAAATAATTGATATATAAAAAAATCAAAACAAACAGTTATTTTTTTTTAATAATTCTAAACAAAAAATTAACATTCAAAAACAAATATTATAAATTTTTTAAAGTAAATTAAGAATCTAATTTTTTTTTACCATTCATCCGTTTGACCTTGAAAAGTAGTTTTTCTTTGACTGAGCAAACTGGCTTCAATCGCTCTACTAGACCTTCCTCCCGCTCAACCTTTTCAGCCAAATCTAATATTATTCCAGGTTCCAGCTCATTTTTTATGGCGAAAGATAGGGGGGGTTTGTTATATTGTTGCAGCGATTTCTTGTTTTGGTGGTAGTTGGGGGACGTTTGAGTGCGATATTTAGAAGAGTTATGACGATTCGAGTGATTATTGTGATTGGAAGATTTTTTCTTAGTTATTTTTCGTGTCAGTTTTTCGATTGCTAGGGATAATGCTTGATTGAGATCGTCTGGCCTGGTGGATTTATCCTGTACAGGAAGGAGGACGGGTTTTAATTTAATAGGATATGATTCGTCTTCTGGATGTACTTTGGAGGAGGTGTCCCCTTGATTATCTGATAAATAAGAGTTATGGTATTATAGTTATTCCTTCTATTTTCGATATATATGATTAATTTAAAACTTTCTGATTTATAGGGCTTTCAAAAAAATTAAAAATTATATATTTCCTAACCTTCCCATACTTTAACAAAAAGTTACCTTAGCCTCAAACATCCTAATAATTAAAGAAAAAATGTAAATTGTGATTAGAGGTGAGTGCGAGAATAATTATTTATTCACGACCTGCTAACTCATGCTTTAACCAAAAAAATTCACGAGTCACTTAATTGCTAAGATATATTTTTTTCTTAGTATTATTAATCTTAAGAATTTGTATAAATTTTAAAAAATTTACCACTTGAGATTCCCCCCTAGCAAATCACAAGGTTCTATTTAAAAAAGTGAATCATATATTTTATTAATGATTAATTATTTTATGATAAAAAAAAATTGAAATATTATAACTCCTCTGAAAACCTTTTTAAAATATATATAAAATAAATATCAATTTAGTTTTATTTAAAATTTGTCAATAAATGCGTCAAAATTTAAAAAATAATAAATATTAAATCCATGAAAATTTCACCTATTTTGTCAATTTTATTATTAATTTCTATATAAATGGTCCCATTCATATAAAAGTTACATAGATTTAGTCCAAAATTCTTGTTTATTTATATTTTGGCTATTTCTTTTAGAATATATTAATAGGGTAATTCCAAATCACGATAACTTTTCAGTCCGATCTTTTTAATTTTGATAAAATTTCGAATACTAAGAAAACGTTATTAGAAGGTATCGTAAATATTTCCTGAGATTTCAAGCGTCAAAAGTGACAAAAATGACTTTTTTCGAAAAATATGCTTTTTTTTAAATTTGAGAAAAGTTAAAAAATAAATATGCTAAAAATAAAAATTAGGTGTCATCTTGTAACTCTATTAATGACTCTTTAATAATAATTTTGTCGTTTTTATTTAGGTTATAAACCTTAAGCATGAAAGCTCCATGCTTGCTTTAAGAAGCAGGCTTCATTAATTTGGCTTTGCGAATTTCTTTAAATTTAATATTCGGCTTCCTGAATTTCCTAAAATTTAATATTTTATTATTCACTTACATTATATCTATTTGTAGAAAAATTAAAATTGGGCAGAGTAAGGTTAGAGAAATTGAGGGTTTATTAGTTATAAATAAAAATATATTAAATAATAAAGCAGATGATAAATTACAAATAGTAAGCAGATGATAAAATTAATAGAAAAAAATAGAAATATACAATTATATTACAATTTAGATTTAACAAATAAATTTAAATTATTTACCACCCCAAAATATGGCAGTAAAAAAAATTTTTCTCAACCACAGTACGGGATTCTGCAAATAGTATAAAATACCTATTTATCAATATCTTCCCATGCCAGAAAATTAACCTCCCTCACTAATCCTAAGTACTTATTACATTTAACAAATAAATTTAAATTACATTTAGCCAATTGAAAAATAAACATTTATCTCATATTACCACCCCAAAATATGCCAGTATAAAAATTTTATCTCAACAATATTTAAACTCTGGAAATGACATACAATACCAATTTATCAATATCTACCCTATATTTTTGATTACAATTTCATATATTTTATATTAGATTTAATAAAATGAATAAATAATCACTAAAATTTGTCATTTAATTTATATAAAAAAATGTATTTAAAAAAAATTTCATATAACAGTTCAAGATTTTATTATTCCCGTCATTCTTGACGGGTTATCAACTAGTTTTTTAATATTTAGCAAAGTTCGATTTTTTATTGATATCTACTGACCTTATGAGCTCAAAAGGTCTGGTATGGCCATTAAGTTGATTTTATACTTAAATCTATCTTTTTTCATTAAAATACAAAAAAAATTTTAAAAACTGAATGAATATTATAAATAAAAAATTAAGCACATTCTATAAGAAATAAATTCAACAAAAAAATAATTGGAATGGAAATGTTACAATCAGGAAAAACAAGGGCATATCACATCGGTAAAGCGTCTAATAAAATAATATTTAATTATCTTTTTTCAATTTAAAATATAAAAAAAATATTTAAAAACTGAATGAATATTATAAATAAAAAATTAAGCACATTCTAAGAAATAAATTCAACAAAAAAATAATTGGAATGGAAATGTTACAATCAGGAAAAACAAGGGCATGTCACATAGGTAAAGTTTCTTGTAACTAATAAAATAATATTTAATTAAATTTGTTGATGTGCTCATTTTATCTAAAAATAAATAGAAGTGTATATGGAATATCATAAATATTATGAAAGAAATATATATAAGTAACTTAAAAGTAACGTGTTTGTAATAGAAACAATTAGCCTCAAAGGCAATTAAATATATGATGAATTTTAAATATATATATTATTAATTGTGTACGACGATTAATTGTTTGTTTTGTAAAATATATATATACTGCGGTACAAAAGGTAAAAAGTTGTTAAATTTATAATAAAAATTGATTTCATCACAATGGCGCAGTCGTTTCAAATGGAGAAATATAATATAAAGGAGTGCAATATGAAAGTTTATTTATCAAAAATGGAATTCATTTTTAAAATCGCAAAAATAGAAGATAAAAAAACATTTTTATTAGCGAATATAGGATTAGAGATTCTAAATTATTTAATTTGTGTTTGACAAAGACATTAAAGAAAATATCATATGATGACATAATTAAACTTTTAAAAAATTATTATATGAAGAAGACAAACTTCCTATTAGAAAGATATTATTTTTTTAAAATGGAACAAGAAAAAGATGAAACCATCGTAGAGTATATTAATAAATTAAAGATAAGGGCAAAGACGTGTGAATTTAAAGATATGTATAATACAGTATTGCGAGACAAATTAGTGTCAGGAATTAATAATGGAAAAATATTAATGAAATTATTTAACACGCAGGACTTGACATGGGAAAGTGTAATACAAATCGCAACCGCAATGGAGACTACAGAAATGATGTCGTATGAAAAATTATCTGCAGGGAAGGAGATAAATAAAATCTCAAAAACAGTAACAAGGGAGCATGACAAGTACAAATCAGTACCAAAAATTATTTGCTATTGTTGCGGATTAGGAGATCACATAAAACCTAAGTGCCCTAATTTGAATGCCATCTGCCATAATTGTGGGATAAAAGGACATTTACAAAAAGTATGCAGAAGGAATCGTGGAAAGAAGGAATATATTCGAACGATAGGTGTTCCAGAAAATGAGCGAGAAAGTTTTGAGGATTGGGAATTTCCAGAGGAGTCTCGAAAAAAATTTGAGGTGAAATTATTGATAGATAAAATTTATATTAAATTTTTAATTGACACAGGATCGGCAGTCTCCATTTTGAATATAGAAGACGTTTACTGTTTAAAAATACCAGTAACAAAAACGGATATTATTTTAAAATCTTATAATAATGTAATGATCAATATTAAAGGTAAGTGTATATTACCCGTTAATTATATGAATAAAGTTATATATCATGAATTTATTATTGTAAACAATGGGATTAACTTGATAGGTAGAAACCTAATAAACAAATTAAAATTAATAAAAATAAATCAATGTAATATAGTTAATGAGGTTTGGGAGGATAATATTGTACATAAATTTTCCTTATTATTCACTAAAGGTTTACTAAGAGGTTTTAAGGCCAGTTTAGCAGTAAAATCTAACCCAGAGTTTCAATGTATGAAAAGTAGACCGATACCATTTGCGTGGAAGGCAAAACTCGAAACGGAATTACAACGACTGGAATCCATGGGAGTTTTAGAAAGACTAAAATACTCGAATATCGCTTCTCCGATTGTACCCGTATTGAAGAAAGATGGATCTTTACGAATTTGCGGTGATTTCAGACAAACGGTTAATGCAAATATTTTGATAGATAAATATCCTTTACCCAGAATTAATGAATTATTAGTCACACTAGGTAATGGGTGTAAATATACAGTATTAGATTTATCCGAAGCGTATTTTCAAATAGAGCTAGATGAGGAGGCAAAAAAGCTGTTAGTAATCAACACGCCTAGTGGATTGTATCGTTTCACACGACTTCCGTTTGGGGTAGCCTCAGCGCCAGCGATTTTTCAACAAGCAAAGATTCATTATTAAAGGGATTACCTGGAGTAGCGGTATATTTGGACAATATAATAATTACGGGGGAATCAATTGAGAGTCATAAGAAAAATTTGATAAATGTATTAAAGACGTTAGCAATAAACGGTATGAAATTAAATCTAAAAAAATGTGATTTTTTTAAAGAAAAGATTGAATTCTTAGGTCATACCGTTAGCGAAGAGGGAATTACGACAACAAATAAGAATGTCAATGCAATTTTAGACGCACCATTACCAAAAAACGTCAAAGAATTACAAGCCTTTATCGGTATAATAAATTATTATCAAAAATTTATAAACAATTTTTCGACTATTGCCGCTCCATTATATAGGCTTTTAAGGAAAGATGTGCCATAGAAATAGACAAATAATGAAACAATTGTGATTAATAAATTTAAAAAATTAATATCAGAAGCACCAATTTTAACACATTATAATCCGAAAAAACTGATAATTCTAGCTGCTGATGCGTCTCAACATGGAATAGGATCAGTTATATCTCATATCATTAACAACGAGGAAAAACCGATTGGATACGCGTCTCGAACATTAAATGCTGCCGAACGAAATTACAGTCAGATAGAGCGTGAGGCTTTAGCAATTATATTTGGATTAATTAAATTTAAACAATATTTAATTGGCAGACATTTCATTATCATTACTGACCATAAACCCCTAATATCGTTACTTAATCCACATAAAAGAATAACAGATATGTCATCAAGATTAGTAAGATGGTCATTACTACTAGCAAATTATGATTATGAATTGCAACTTCGAGGGACGAAAAAAAATAGTAATGCGGATATGCTTTCCCGGTTTCCAATTGACGGTAAACCATCTGCTTGGGAAGTTAGATATTAATTTAATAGTATCGGATGCTCCACAATTTATTTCAGCGTTAGATATAAAAGCACACACATAAAATGACCCGGTATTATCAAAGGTTTCACGTTACCTTACAACTGGATGGCCAAAGATGATAGAGGAAAATCTTAAACCGTTTTTCCAGCGCCGAAATGAACTCACGATGGAGGCAGGGTGTATATTATGGGGCTTAAGAACCATAATTCCAAAAAAATTACAAGTAAATATTTTGTCTTTTTTACATATGGGGCATCAGGGTTATACTAAAACAAAATTATTGGCACAAGAGAACGTTTGGTGGCCGAATATTAACGAAGATATCGAATTACACGGTAAGAATTGTGAATTATGTCAAAGAAATAATCCTGGCAATAAAACGATCATAGGGAAATGGCCCTCAGCAAATAAACCATGGGGAAGAATTTATTTAGATTTTGCCGGACCAATTAACGGAGATATATACCTAGTAATAATAGATAGTTTTAGTAAATGGCCTGAAATACAAAAAATGACGACGAATAATTTTACTGAAGTAAGAAAATTGTTGTTAAAACTTTTTGCTATTTTCGGTTACCCCAATACGATTGTTACGGAAAATTACCCCCCATTTCAAAGTAGAGAATTTAGTTTATTTTGCAAACAATTATCAATTAAAAATTGTATATAGTGCCCCATACCACCCTAGAACCAACGGAGAAGCGGAGCGATTAGTACAAACTTTTAAAATTTTTTTAAAAAAACATAATGATTATAATAAAATAAGATTTTTTGTTTAATTATCTACGCCACAAATAACCACAAAACAATCACCAAGTTCAATTATGCTTAAATTTCAACCCATAGGACCTTTACAATTAATAAAACCAGTTTATCCTCATCCATATATACCTCAGTTACCAGGTTTTTTTAATATAAATGAAAAAATATATGCAAAGGATTTTAAAAAAGATAATTGGATACCAGGTATCATCGTTAAAAGAACAGGACCAATGACGTTTTTAGTTGAAACTAAATTAGGGGTATGGAGAAGACATATTAATCAGTTAAAACATAGGTTCGACAACTCAGAATTAAAAAATAGAGAGGGGAGAGAAGAAGAAACGATGCAAACTACACCACAAATGAATGAAAATGAGCCCATACAAAACTCAATGACTAAAGACATTGATCCTATACACGAATTGGTGACCAAAGACATTGACCCAATACAAGACTCAATAAACAAAGACACCATCATAAATGATAAGATGAAAATCGACAGTAATGAGCAAACGGTGGTAGAGAACGAAAGTACAAGCAGCCGTTATCCAAAACGGATAAGAAAACAATTTATACCGTTTCAAATCGAGAGCCCAAAAAAGGAGAGAATAGATGTGATAGAAACAATTAGCCTCAAAGGCAATTAAATATATGATGAATTTTAAATATATATATTATTAATTGTGTACGACGATTAATTGCTTGTTTTGTAAAATACATATATACTGCGGTACAAAAGGTAAAAAGTTGTTAAATTTATAATAAAAATTGATTTCATCACAGTGTTAATTTGGTTATTAAATTTTTAAAAAATTATTTTGAACGGCTTTAAATTTCTGTTAGGTAGCGGAAAACATTTTTTGGGATATATGAATGAAAGCTTCCGATATTATTCAGAAATTAAATGATTTAAACTTCTTGTAATAAATCACAAAAGGACAAATGATAACTTGCGCTTTACAGTGAAATCCTTGTACTTCATCTTGAACCACAAGGCATAATTTTCAGAAAAATCTGCCTAGACGATATATTTATTCTCTTTTTAAATTTATTTTAATAGAATTCATGCCTTAAAAAGTTTTTGAGATAAAAGCAATTAAAAATTTCAGGTGCGAAAATCTTCATTATTCGCACCTTTCGACCTGTATCTCGGGAACTAGGTGTGGAGAGAGAAAATAAACGGCTCTCATTTTTTTACTTATCTAAATAATTCCAGAAATTTTTAACAATTTTAAAAGGGGCCGACTGAAAATGTGCCTTTTTTGTAGCGGTAATATATTCGCAACATTCGCAATGATATTTTAAAGGTATTAAATTCCCTGAAATAATTTACTGTAATATATTCTTGTAATTCAATTCTACGCATCGAATAATTCATTTATTCCAATATTATTCATGAACCGGAAATAAGCCATTCGAAATTTCCGAACCGTTACAAGAAATAATTAAAAAGATAGAACCAAACGGTTATCCATATATTCGAACGCTTCATAACAGTTTTTAAAATTATATTTATTTATGTTTGGCATAACACATATTTTTTCAAATAGTATAAATATGACATATTAAGTTATTTGATATTTATAATTCACTTATTCTTCTTTAATTATTATTGGTTTTAATTTTTAGTTTAGTTTTTATTCATCTTTTAAAAATATTTTTATCCGATTATTATGAATCAATTAATAAAATATATTATGATAAATTTAAAATATCTTTAACTTATAAAAACCGGGACTGAAAAGGCCGATAAGAATTTCTAAATCAAAATTCGCGGATATAAAGTTGTTCAAAAATAACTGGAATGGAACTAAACTGTAAAGTATAAACCGAAAAGTAACTGAATTGCAATATCTATCGGTTCGACACATTGTTCTTGAATACCCATTTATATTATTCGAATAAATTAATAATAATTTTAGTTCTTATTATGATTACTCTAGAAGTTTTTAAATTTTTTAGTCATATGGCAATTATATATCTTTTTTATAATGGTAATAAATAAATAAATAAGAGTCCTTAAAATTATTTGTTCAAATTAATAGATTAATAGATATTAACGACTCGAATGATATTCGAATCGTGAAAATATCACTTCATTCATTGAAATGAATATTAATTTGAACGATTAATATTCAAATAATTTTATAACTTTTAATCCCATTCATTCATTACCATTATAAAAAAATTATTGCAATAATGGTAAGAGAATCTAAATTACTATTAGTGATGAACATAGTATACTCGAATATATTTTAACATTAATAATACAGCCATATATTTATATAAATTAGTACATAAAGTTATAATAAAAATTAAATATTGCCCCTAAAAATTAAGGTATTTTTCACTAAAAACAGATATAATTTAGATTCATAAAAAAAAAACTACAAAATTTTATATGGAAATATTAATATTTAAAAATATTATTATAATAAATACTTTTTACTATTTGAATAATATTCGCGAATATTAAAATATATTCAAACAAAAAATTATTCGTCTCAAATATAATCTAAAATATTCGAATCCGATTTAAATATGGAATATTAGTTAGGAGTATTAATTCTAGGAAATATATCGACCGAAGTGTTTTCGCGGAAATATTTCTTAGGGTAATCGACATTGGCGGTAATGCTAGAACGGAAATTATAACATTACCGTGGAGCTTAATATTCCAAAATAATATTTGAATAATTAATATTAAGTTAATATTTCATGCTTTTTATCTCGCAATAATATTTCGTTTTAAGTTATTGCAGCCTATATTACTAGCTGTTTAATTTTTTTTTTAAATTCTAAATTAATAAAATGTATTTTATATATTAAATTGTATATTTGTGATTTTTTGCAATATGACAATACTTTAATATTTTCAACAAAATATTCTAAAAAAGTATAATTTCATATAGAATGACTTTGACATCAAAAATAAAAATTAGGTTTACCATAAATATTCATTTCTAATAATTTGATTATCTATATTATAAATTTACTTTGAACGTTGGTAACTGAGGAGGCTAAAGTATCAATAACTTTGATGATGTTGGAATTTACGTCTTTCTCTTTTACGAAAAATGGAGGATCAAGATTTGTCTTATAAATATAAAATATCAGTCTTATATATATTTTTAAAGAATATAATTCAAATCATCGTCCATTATCAAAAAATACTAAAATATCGATCCGATAAAATGACGATTTCAATAACTGCCGTTAATCATTTTTTTATATTAGTAGTAAGCAGAAATCCAGGACAAGTGCATTTTCCCGTTCGGTATTACTATTTCCCGTTTCTTTTCAATTAGGTTTATTGAAACGTTTCAAGAATTCATAATGATTTATGAGAACCTGAAATATTCAGAAACATTATAAATCCATATGATTCTAATCATGTTTCCGAGTTCCTCAACTCTAGCACTACTTTTCAGTCTCCTGGAATCCCAGTCTCGGTGGTAAGACTTACTTTTACGACTTCAGTTAATTATGCTAATATTTAACTTGATGAGTATAAAATATCGATAAATAAAGAAAGAAAGCTAGAGTAAACTTAATAATTTAGTTGGGGTGCAAAATACGAGAAAATCTAGTATAAAAAACAAAAAAATAAAAACTTGGGCTGCGTTCGCGAAACCGTTATCTTGCTCAATTATATTTTTGACCGACGATAAAGACTTTGAAAAAGGTATAATTGCTTCGAATTCTTTGGATAAAGCTTCAGATCGAAAGGCAAGACACGAATAATCCTTCATATTAAAACGTGAAGCTATACTGATACGACAAAGGCTAAGGGGAGCTGGAATGGTGGTAATCCTCATTGGTTCAATAAATGTAGGCGGTACATATAACGGAAAAGAGTTAGTGGGTAAAGGAATAGAATCACTATCGTTGTGTAGTAAGATTGTGGCGGGAAGGTTATTTAGGTCGTAACTAGATGGTTTTAAGAAGGGGATAGGCAGGGAGGTTAGTGATAATTGGAATATAGGGATAGGCGGAGGAGCCAGGTGAGGTAAAGGGGAAATTCTGGCATAATAGGAGCGAGGTGGACTAAGAGGGGGGGAGGTAGACGTAGGATAGAAGGGATCGTATGGGAGAGGGATAGTGTCTAAAGGATCATCAAAATAGGGTTCATCATCGAGCGTTATGATTTCTGTAGTTTGAGAAACATGCGGAGAAACGAATACTACCTCATCCAACAGCACGTCTATATCAGGATTAGCCTTTAATTCGGTGGTCTCTTGTAAAATTTTGGAGTTTATATTGGTATGACCCTCTTTAGATAGAGTGATGGAATGAAGGATAGCTTTCGATATTTTGGGCCATTTGTGCTGCGTTTTGCCCAATATTTTTGAACTATCTTCTCTCAAAGATTCGAGGGTTTTCTGACTAAACGGTTTATTTATGTTAGCTGGAGACTTGGTTTTATGTACGAAGTTATTTGGTTCGTGAGACCTGGAATGGTGAGTGTTGAATTTATTGAATGAAATAGCATTTTTGTCTTTATTATCCTTGCAAGATTCACTTTCGGTATTTTTTAAGCATGTAGATTCGGGCTGCGTCGACAACGGTGTTTTTAGCTGGTGCGATGATTTCGGTTCGTTCTCACTGATTCGGCTTTTCTTGTGAGATTTGATAGATTTCAATTCAGCTATTTCATTATTGCGCTTCAAATTAGCCCCTTCCGTGGGATCAATTTTTTGAGAAGAAAATGTGGTGGTTGACAAAATCGTTTGTTTATTAGGGGATTTTGAGACTTTTAAAAAAAATGAGAAAATAATAGGGTTGACAAAAATTATAATTCATTTATAAAAGATTAAAAAATCGATTTATTTGATTAGATCGCTATTTTTTATTTAAATCAAAGTTTATTATATAATTTTAAACAATATGCTCTAGAGCTAGACGAAAAATACACCGTGACGATTTATTCGAACATTTTATTTTTCTGTGGAATATACGAACTCTAAAAGTATTTTATCATGTTATCAATAAAAATATTGGCCCATTTATAACAATTTCACTTTGATTATAGTAAATGAATTTTAATTTTTACAATATTATTTTGAAATTAAATTAATATTTATAAACTAGAATTGAAATTGATAGTTATAGTTATAAACTGCATCTGGATTAATCTTACTATTAGCAAAATATTCAATCAATATATATATTAAACAGCCCTAAAATAATTATAACGATTCTTTAATATCTTCTTATTTAACAATATCTATATTATAATTTTCCGATTATATACCCCATTTCATCGCTACCATACTTATTTATTTTTAAATATTGGCAGTCACATTTTGCGAAAAGGTGCAACAATATAGTTAGATGCTAACTGGAACTGGAGACTAAATACCACTTCTAAACGTTTGTTGCACCTGCTTACCAATAAACCCTCATGATCATATGTCTCTTTGTTTAAATATTTACTTTTTCTTTTACAATTTTTTTTTATTGATTAATTTTTATTTAACCGATATTTTCATATTTTTTTATATCGATGAATCTAAAGAGGGCACATTTATTTTCATATCTCATGAGATAAGCCTAGTTTGAGATTAAAATTTTTATCATCATACTCATTTTTAACAAAAATCGAAGGGGGTGGGATTGAGAATCGAGAGAGTTGATTTAATATGGAACACAACATATACTAAAATTTATGCATATAAATTTATTTATCTTGAGTTATATAATATTTTTAATATTTTTTCATTATACTTTACTATATTTTAGATGATATCTATTTTAGATCCTTTGTCAATATGTGATAATAGCCACGCCATCCCTAGAGATGCACTTGATATTGACGCAAGTTCAGTATTTTTAAAAAAAATTCTCTTTTGTTTTTTAGGTAACTGGCTGTCTTCCTCTTAATGATGGTAACATTAAGATTTCATGGGTTCTTATGAAATGTCTTTTTTTATATTTATTTTACAATTTTTTTTATATGTATTATAAAATTTACGAAAGGCAATAATAGACGATAGAAAATTTACGAATAAAATTTAGAACAAATTATTTTTTAAACATTTTATTATCTTTTTTTACGTTAAAATTTTAAAGTATATATACATTTTGTACAAAATAAAAAGTATAATTATAATGACCTTTTACGGTTAAAAGAAACTTTTTATAAAATTTAAGTTAAGTAAAAAATTACATTTTGAATAACCTTTTGTAAAAATGATTTCAGAAAATATAAGGAATATTTTTAAGGTAAAAATCAAAAATAATTTAAATAAAATAAATATACACTTGTGAATAACCTTAAAATATAAAAAATAAAAAAATATATCCTTTTTTTTATATTTTAATTTCATTTAAAATTTTATTTGACTATTTAACATTCCCTCTTTTTTTTAAAAGTTTTTCCTCTCTCGACTTCGGTCCTAAGCTAATCGTCATGTACTTGCGAGTTACTCGTGAGTTTGTTTGTTCCAATTTTCCATTATTCGTCCATTGCCAAAAAAATCATTACATGTATATTTTATGTAATCAAAAAAATTTTAATTTGTTTTTATTTATAATTAAAAATCTTTTCAGGTCTTAGATAATATTTTCGATCTTGATTATTGAACTTGATTTTGTTCTCCACTTCTTCCCCCTCTAAAAACTTGTGTATTTGTTGTAGAATTTTTATATGAGATTATGTTCGTTGATCTTTTCTTTATCTGATTAAATGTCTTCTAATAGTGTTGTATCCAGTATTTACTTTTATATGACAAATTCCTATCTTTATGTATCACGATTCCTTTGTCCCATATATTTTTTTTGAACGTTTTGTACCAAATTTTATCTCCTACTTCTATGTCTCTTTTTCCAAAGCTGTATCTAACTCTATTTTAGTGTTGTTTTCCATATTTCTTTTCATACTCATCTTCATGGATCTTAGCAATTAGTATGTGTTTTATACCATGATCTTCACAAAATTTTTTAAATAGGTAGCTAGTAAAGTTAGTTCCATTATCAGTCCCTATATTGTGTGGTATTCCGAATAAGCTAATAATTCTCATCAATTCTTTTACAGTTGATTCTGTTGATATGTTCTACATTCTTTTAATTATCGGGAACTTGCTATAAGCGTCGACAAATACCATGTAATTGGTATCTTCGAATTGGGCAAAATCTATGTGTACGCGTTCAAATATTTTTGTTGCTATTCTCGATGGATTTTGTACATTATGTGGATTATCCACCCATTTGTTGTATGCATCACAATTTTTACCTCTTGATCTATTTTGGTGTTATTACCAGGCCACCATAAATAATCTTTAGCTAATAGTTTCGTTTTTCCTGCACCTAGATGTCCCTTGTGTAACTCTTGTAACATCTCGTTTCTCATTTTCCGTGGTATTATGATTCCATTATCTTTGAAAAGACAATCTTTCATCAAGCTTAATTCTACCTCCATATTTTTGTACGTTTTGTTTTTGATTGCTTCTAATATTATTATTAATTTCCATCAATTCATTCTCAGCACTTGTTACTTTCATTATTCATTTTAAATTTATTGGTATATATCATAAATCATTTCTATATCTTGTATCATTTCAGTATTCATCTATGGTAATCTTGATAAGCAATCTGTACTATATTGCGTTTACCGGGTCTGTGAATTATTGAGAAATCATGTGCTTCCATTGTCAAATTCCATTTTTGAAGTCGCATCGATATGGAAATGTTATCCTTTAGTTCTTTTGTAAAAATATATACGAGTGGTTTATGGTCTGTAATTGTAAATTTTGTTCCAATGATATATTCTTAAAATTTCTTTATAGCATATATTATAGACAAGGCTTCTCTTTCAATGTTCATGTAATTTGTTCCTAATTTTAATAAAGTTCTTGATGAGAACGCAATAGGTTTTTCTTTACCATCTCCTTCAATATGAAATAACACTGCACCTAAACCTTTTTTCGAACGTCAGTTGCAATACCTATAGGTAAATCTGGGTTGTAAAAATTTAATGTTGGAGGAGTACTTATCAATTTTTTCAAATCATTAAAGGTTTTCTCATGTGTATTTTTCCATAACCATTTTTCTTTGTTGACTATTCTATATAAAGGATCAGCTATGTCCACAACATAAAAATTTTCGATAACTAGCCATGCCCATAAATGTTGCTAATTCCTCTTTTGTTGTAGGTTCTGACATGTTTGTAATAGCTTTCATTTTGTCTCCATTTGGATGTATGCTTTTATCATCTATGTCGTGCCCTAGGAATTGTATTTCTTTTTTAAAAAATATACTTTTGACAAAATTGGGTATAAGTCAATGTTTTAATATCTTGTCGAAGACTTTTTTGTATTGTTCAAATGAGCCTCATCATCATCACCATTTATAAGTAGATCATCGATGTAAAATATGGCATCCTTCATATCCCCGAAATGTTGTCCACTGACGCCGTTTTTGATCGAAAAGGGAGTCTTGTAAATCTGTAGTAACCCTTGTACGTTGATATTGTGAGTAGATCTCGAGAATCTTTATGTATTGGTACTTGCAGGAATGCGTGTTTGAAATCAATTTTGTAAATTTCATGCCTTTTGATAATTTTAAAATTAAATCATTAATACGTGGTATCGGATATTTAAAATCTTCTAAAGCTGAATTTATAGTATTTTTAAAATCTGCGCAAAGTCTAATTGAACCGTCACTTTAAGTGTGAGTGGACTTGCCCAGCGAACATCTTCAACTGGCTAAATTATTTTATCATCAATCCATTTTTGCAATTCTCAAGCTCGTTGTCGTAATAGGGAAAGACAAAAGCAAAAAAAATATACATTCTACACTATTTTTATTAATTAAATAAGATTTAATATGGATCCTATCTTGACGCTTGTCAATTGATCTCTCTGAACAATATTCCATTCTATTCAAGCGGATTATTTTGTAAAACTCATAAAAAGCGATACTTAGCTTTAAATAGGATTTTATATCTATTTCGAAAGGGCAATACACAATACAAATTATGCTATTTTTATTTAAATAAAATTTTATGTCTCTTAAAATTTGTCAATTAATCATCCCGAACAATATTCCGTTCTATTCATGCTGAATATTTGGTAAAACTCCCTAAAAAACAATACACAGTTCACTTAGATAGGATTTTATATCAATTTCGAAAGGACAATACAGTGTGCGCTATCTTTATTATTTAAATAAGCTTTTATGTCTATTCTTAAGATTCCTACTTTTTTGAAGATTGCCAATTGGTCTCCCCAAACAATACTCCATTCCATTTATGCTGATTATTTTATAAAAACAAGATGGCTAAAAGAAATGCTAAGAAATTAATAGCTAAGGCGCAAGAAGAAAAAGGAGTTTGCTAAAGAAATGGAATGCGCTGATTGAATGGGAAATATAGTTCGAATGATAAAGCAGATGTCAAAAAAGAGGTAGGATGTGATAGATGTAAAATGTTTGAAAAATATGGAAGGAAATGGTGATTGATAGTAGTGGTATTAAGAACACATGGAAGATCTACATGAAAGGACTTTTGAATGAAGAAAATGAATGGGATAATAATGTTAGTTGTGCAAAGGTAGAAGGTCCAGGGTGTAAATTTGGCAAGATCGAGATAAAGAGAGCAGTGAAAAAATGAAAAAAGGGAAGGCAACGATGGTGGTATCAGAGATGTTTAAAGGTTCTGATGATTTAGGGATTGATTGGTTAATGAATTTAGCCAATCAAATTGTCACAGGAGGAACTATTCCAGAGGACTGGCGAAGAAGTATAATTATCCCAGTATACAAAGGGAAAGGTGATCCTTTAGATTGCGTGTCTTACAGAGCTATTAAACTCTTGGCACATGCAATGAGAGTATTTGAGAGGGTGTTAGAGAAGCGGATAAGGGAACAAACTAAAATTGATGAAATGCAGTTTGGTATTACATCGGGAAAAGGCACAACAGATACAATTTTTGCGGTGAGTGCAGAAGTATCTTGCGAAGGAAAAGAAACTCTATTATGCGTTTGTTGATTTGGAGAAAGCATTTGATAGAGTGCCGCGTGAGATTACTAGATGGGCCTTGAGAAAATCAGGTGTGGAGGAATGGTTGGTTATCGCAGTGATGGCAATGTATGTTGAGGCACAAACATCAGTACGGACGGATTGTGGTGATAGTGGCAGCTTTGAGGTAAAGGTAGGACTTCATCAAGGATCCGTGCTGAGTCCACTATTATTTATCTTAGTAATGGACGTGGTGGCTAGAGAAATGCGTGAAGGACTTCCCTGGGATCTATTATATGCAAATGACCTTGTATATTGAGGGATAAAATTAGTAAATGGAAGATGACCATGGAAGCAAAGGGCCTGAATTTGAATGCATCAATTTCAAAGGTAAGGTGATGATTGGTGGGGAAGATCTAAAGATGGAGGAATCCGGTAAGTGTCCTTGTGGTGTATGTGGGAAATGAGTTGCTAGAAATTCTATTCAATGCACCCGATGCCAGAAATGGGTACATAATAGATGTAGCAGGAAAAAGGGAAGTTTGATGTTAGGAAGAATGACCTTTATTGTAGAACATGCATGAAAGGGATACATAATAATGATAACCTAGAAAATGGTGGTCTGGATATTGGCAATGGGTTAACCCTAGAAAACGTGGATAAGTTTTGTTATTTAGGTGATATGCTAAACGCAGATGGTGGTGTAGATTCTGCTGTTGTTGCAAGGATCAGACAAGCTTAGAAGAAGTTCAGAGAGATGTCATCTATTCTTATAAATAAAAAGGTCTCTTTGAAGTGCTGTGTGAGGAGTTGTTTAGTTTATGGCGGCGAAACATGGCAATGAAAGCTACTCACGAAGCCAACTTAGAAAGAACAGAGATGAGGATGATTAGATGGATGTGTGGGGTATCTCTGAGAGAGAGAAAAACTAGCAAGGAATTGCGAGCAAGAGATGGTTTGGGCATGTGGAACGTATCACAAAAGATGACTGGATAAAGAGATGCACCTAGATGGAAGGAGGATCAAGACCTAGAGGAAGACCCAAGATGACGTGGACAAATGTGATAGCGGCGGATATGAGAAGCATGAATCTTACAAATATTGATGCTCAGGACCGTCAAAAATGGAAAAGAAAAATCAGAAGGAAAACTGGCCTACCCGGGTAAACCTAGAAATCGTCATAAAACGGAGAAGATTAAAAAATACGTGGTTCGCTTTAAATAGGATTTTATATCTATTCCAAGAGAACAATATAGAGTAGGCTTTATTTATTATTTAAATAAGCAATTGGTTCCCTGAACAATCGTCTCTATTCAGGATATAGTAAAATATTTAAATAATTTTTACTCTCATTTGCTCCTGATCAACAAAATTAGCTATATAAAATACACTCATTTATACTAAGGCAATATATAAATTAATATTTTTTAAATATACCTCCTAAGCCCAATACCTATATTATATTTTACTTTTTTTAAACTCTGCTATCTCATTTATGATCCATCGCCATTGTTGTTCATCACTATTTGTGATTCATGGGAATTTCTGATTCTGCGCCATTTGTGATTCCTAAGCCACACTCCCCCCAGCCGAAAAGGTCGGACTAGGGCGAAGCCTTAGTTAAAAATAATTTTTATAAGAGTTCATTGTACCAAAATAAATAATTTTTATATTAGCGCAGCATATAAAATCATTTATAATAATAAAATAATGTTCATATTTGAAAACAAAACCTAATAATAATTTTAAAATATAAGTAAAGAAAATAAGATTTCAAATCAAGCTTTTATTTATATAAATTATTGATTTAATCATACCAACCCTAGGAAATATATATTACCTCTTTTATAAAATTTAAATAAATCAAAATACTTAAATAATTTATTTGTAGCATTTTTGATTTTGAACATATGTAAATACCCCCCTAAATCAATGAAGATATTACTCCCCTACCAAATCAAAATTAGCAACAAAAAAATGAAGAACGAAATTAGAAAAAAAAGTTCAACATTCATTTGCCTTCTACAATTTTATTTTAATGATGAATAACTTCACAATTCTCTACCCCCACCCTTCAATTTTAATGACTTCGTCCTACCATCCCCCTCCCCCCGTAGACGGGTCTGATAATACTTATTATGCATAACTTATTTAAAATATAGAAAAATAATATGCCCACTTATTCAAATTTGATCAAGATAATTATTTTATTTTAAAAAATAAAAATTAAAATTAAATCAAATTGTTTACTTTTGTTGATTTGGACTTCTTCTTCCTCCAAAGCTTGAGATGCCACCGATTTAATTTTATTGATAGGGATCTTTCTATCATTTTTTATCTTTCGGTATTGTGGTATAAAATTTATAAAAATATTTTTTTTAATATCTTAATTAGATATCGTTTTTGCTAAACACGTTACCATAAAAAAAATATTACCCCAAATTAATATCCTTGTCCCAAAAATATTACAATGCATTGTTGAGAATGCATTATCACGAAAAGACAACTTATCTTAATTTAATTTTTGGGAATTTTTTTATTTGACCTTCTTAACTTGCTACCCTCGCATAAATCATTCTTCCTCCTAAACTTCATAAACATTCCATGCATTCTTTATACTCTGCGCTAAACTCCTATTTTTAAATTTTCCATCTTAGCATTTAAAAAGGGAATCTAAGATCTAGCCTAAAAATTCAATGAAACAGCATGGGCTCAAGCCTCATTACTAATGTTGTTAAGGTAATTACCTACATTTTGCAAAAAAAGCTAAGGTAACTTACACCTGAAAATTGTAACTAATATAACTGTAGCTAGTTATATTTTTTTGGAATAATATTCATATATCTAATATATATAATCTCCATAATCAAAACATGATCGTTTGGTATCTTCCTAATGTATTTAGAATTTAAGGATACTATATAGTGTAATGTTATTTTTTTGCTCTCTACGAGAGTAGAACCACAAACCTCCCGTTTCAAAGGCGTATGTTTTAAGGATACACCAACTTGAATATAATTAAATTTTAAATATTAATTATATATATATTAATTAATAGCTGATATTTTTAAAATTTTGCCGTTTATTACCATAATAGGTGACGGAGTTGAAGGGTAATTATTTAGTTTGTGTGTATGGTACTAAATATACTTTATATATTAAAATTTAGGAGAAAAAGAGGTAAAATTGTTGCAATGTATACCGCATGTATTAGAAATATCAATTTAATTTTTGATGGAAATCATATTGGATAAAATTTTAAATAGAGAAGCTTTAAGATTTTTGAATTTTAAATATGGGTTATACATTGGCCAGAAAATTTTTTTTTGCAATAGCCAGGCCTGATCAAGAAACCAAGTCCCATACAACTTTCATAAAATTTTGCCATTTATTTTTATTGTAATTTAAAAAAAATGTCTTAAATTTAATTTTATATTTAGAATAAAATTTAGATTTGTGATAGAAATCATATTGGGTAAAATATAAAATGGAAATGCTTAAAAATTTTTTAATTTTAAATATGGGCTAGACATTGGCCTGAAAATTTTTTTTTGCAGAAATCGCCAGGCTTGATTAAAAAACCAAGCCCATGCAACTTTCATATTCTGATTTTATTTTAAAATGAATTATGACTTTTATATATTTTATTTCAGTTCTCAACTAACAATATGGTCTTTGGCGGGCTTGAGAAATTTTTCCCAACAATATGGTTTTCAGAGATTTACCTAACTCCAGGCTTGGGAAAAACTTACAAAATTATTATGGGTTGGCCAGGTTTGAAAAAAAAAATTTCAGGCCAATGTCTGGTCCATATTTAAAATTAAAAAATTTTCAAGCATATCTATTTTAAATTTTACCCAATATGATTTCTATCACAAATTTAAATTTTATTCTAAATATAAAATTAAATTTAAGATATTTTTATTAATTTAGAATAGAAATAAATGTAATATAAAATTAAATTTAAGACATTGTTATATAGAAATAAATGGCAAAATTTTATAAAAGTTGCATGGGACTTGGTTTTTGATCAGGCCTGGCTATGTCTGCAAAAAAAAATTCCAGACCAATCTACCCCATATTTAAAATTAAAAAATTTCCAAGCATCTCTATTTTAAATTTTATTCAATATGATTTTTATCACAAATTTAAATTTTATTCTAAATATAAAATTAAATTTAAGACATTATTATTAAATTACAATAGAAATAAATAGCAAAATTTTGGGAAAGTTGCATGGGACGTGGTTTTTTGATCAGGCCTAGCTGTGTCTGCTAAACAAAATTTTGAGACCAATGTCTAGCCCATATTTAAAATTCAACAATTTTGAAGCATCTCTATTTTTAATTTTACCCAATATGATTCCTATCACAAATTCAAATTTTGATATTTCTAATACCCTTAATGCTGACGGGTTACATTGCAACAATATCTCTTTTTCTCCTAAATTTTAATATAAAGATATTTAGTACCATATTCACAAACTAACTAATTACCCCTCAACCCCGTCATTCTTGACGGGTTATTAGCTAGTATTGTTATAAATATATTCAAATAATTAATTTTATTAATTATGTTATATTATAATAAATTAATTTTAAATTAAACTTACTAATTTAAAATTTTGATTAAATATCTAATTCTGTATGCGGGTCTTTTTATGAAGTTAAAATTGATAAATAAAAACAGATACAAAATCATAGGTGTAGCTATGGTTTTGCTATGGGGAAAGCACTATAATGTGGAGTTTTCCCGATTAATTTTATTGATAGGTCCACTTATTGTAGGCCGTTGGCTATGTTATATTTATATAAAAATAATTTTGGTTCTTCACTTTTTTAAAAAATTTTGAATTATAGTCGTTATTTAAAAAAATTAACTTTTCTTATTTTTCTTTCAAATTCTTGTTTAGTGTAATATATTGAATTTTGGGGGGAGAGGGTGATGATGTATATGGGGGGAAATGTTAATTAGTTTAGGATATTTGTGAGAACAGATAATTTGATAAGAGGATTTTATCCCTATCCCCTCCAGCTATGCCTATGTGCAGAATTTAATATGAATTCTGACTCATTATTTAATGAGTATTAAAATAAATTGTACCATCTCATTCTACAAGTATTACCAAACAAAAAACTTAAATGTTAAAATACCTTGGCTAAGCTTAAAAAAAATTTTGAATTTCACATAGAGAAGGCTGGTTAGTACATACAATATTAGTGATAAGTGCCTCTTATGTAGTGTGTTATATTAAATGACCCGATTTGGGTAAAAAGGGTCCGATTACGATCTTAGCCAAAATAATCTTATATAAGCCTGGAGATTTTGCTCATAGGTGGCAAAAAGGTTTGGACTTCTATTTGTCAAATCTTGCTTACATAATATTATTTTACTAAAATCATAATCGGCCCGTTTTTAAAAATTTCTATGCCTTGCAAAAAATATTGCAGCATCTTGGTCATCCAAAGCCAAGCTATGGGAACATATCTCTGTACGATTATTTTCTGATAACTTGTTTAAATAATTATACTTAATTATTAGATATGCAGGTAATAAGATTTTTGTTTAGCTAAATATTAAAATTATCAATTAAATTAAACTAACTTAATAGTTAAAATGACTTTGACTACCTTCCCACGGAATATGTTCTGGTCATACATTAAACTTAGTAGAAACACAAAATGCCAACAAGAGCATTTTAGAGAATGATCATTCTAAGAAACCATATAATATTGCCATATCAAAATGTCAATTTGTGGAATTTACAAAATAAATCTGGGTCATCATCTGAACTAATAAAAAAAGATTAATTATTACTTTTTATTAAATATATTCTTATACTTACACCAAATGCTCCAGTATAACGTTTGCTCAGTCTATGGAGGCTTATTTTTGAAGAGAAACAAGTGTCCTTTAGACAGAAATTTTGAAAATGGTTTATTGTTAAAGGCAAAAAATTTACTAGCCCGAATTTTAATCAAAATAATCAGTGCATAATATATATGATATTCTTATATTTTATTTGGTGTAAATATATTATATTCTTCAGATTTTTTTTCTTTTTAAATACCTTTGATTAAGATTTGTAAATAGTAATTTTTTTATAAATAAAAAATGATGCGCTATATAAAAGATTTATAAAGTAACTTATAATTAATTAGTTACTTTTGAAATATAGAAGTGTAAATTCGTAACTAGTTACATCTAAAAAACTGTAACTAGTATCTAGTATAACTTTTAACAACACTACTCATTAGTCCTTACTGTTTTATTTCAAGCCATCTACTCTTTAAGCCATAATCATTTCCCACACCTCAAAAAATAATTTTTCCTAGATGATGCTACTTTTTTATGGAGGATAAGTGTTGTTAATGTCCTTTCTCTTGAATCCAACAGGCAGAAGGATTGGGATACGATAGTTGTAGCTCGCTGCGTTGAATCTCTATTATTAATTATGTTACCAACCGACACTCTAATCACTTCTTTAATTAATGGATTCGGGCAGATTTTTTAAAAGTTATACCTTCTATTAAGCTCCAACTCCCCAACAATGAGCTTACCCATGACAGCGGAATCCGCTTTAATTGTACAATAACCTTTCCTCACATCTGCTCTAACTGCAGAAATCTTACAGAGGGGCACTATTTACACTGCAGATCGTATAATGGCCAAACCAATAATTTTCTTGATCCAATAAGCTTTAAAATCGGCCCAAATACCTGCAATATTTGAATCACCAGGAGTTTTTAGTTCCAATGGAAAGCGACATGATGGAACTACCCAGATTCCATAGCATGGAAACCAATTTCCCGTTGGGATTATTCTTGAATAGATCTATTAGCCCTATCCAGCTAGACTCCAACCTTACTCGGGCAAAAAGAACAGCTTAAAATTTTAAATACTCGGTCGGATGATCATATTTATATATATTTCTTATTTGACCAAAAATGATCAATAAATAATGATATTTCAAAATTTACTTATCAAAATAAATACCAAATTTTATATTTATATTATTTAAGCAAAATTATTAAGCTACTAAAAACCGGATCAAAATAATAAATATTTTTATTTTTATTGTAAAGAGAGTGGGATCATATAAACCCCGCCTAGTTAACAAAGAATTTAAATTATTTATAATACCTTTTTTTAATTAAGAATTATAATGATATACCCCGCTAAATTTATTACACCTTCCAGGAGTTACAACCCCCCAATCGAGTTTGCCGTTAATCGATACGCTCACGTCAGAATAATTTATGTCAGGCGTTATTCCGGTCAATAAATTATTTTGGCTTTCAAATATCGAATCAAGTAAATCCTTGCCATTGTGGGGAACCCGTTTAATTGCGCTTTTTAATCTGCCATATTTTATTTTAAAAAATTTCGTTATTTTGGTTTTAAAAAAACTACTAGAAAATTCATAGTATGCCTGGTCATATTGACTAAATTAAGAGGAAAATAATAAAATTAGCACCTCCTTATAGATAATTTAGGCCATATAGATTAGAGATCTGGAAATCCCGACCTAACCTGAGCCTTTTTAAAAATAATTTCGATTCAGGCTAGGTCGGGCCTATTTTTTCAAAAATTCGAGCCATGCCAGGTCGAGCTAAAAATTTTAAATATATCATTCAATTTTGTGAAATAATTGATATAAAATTCTACAAGGCGCTAAAAATATTAAATTTTTCTATATTTAAATACATTCGGGCCGGATTGGATAGACAAATAATTTTTACTTTGGGTAGGCAAACAAATAAAAAAAAATTGGTTAAGGATTAGGCCAGGCAAATTTTTTTAAAAAAATAGGCCGAGCTGGGCTTGAAAAATTAGGCAATGCAGATCACTAATATAGATATTTTAGCATCACTTTTGTCTTTTTGAATTGAAAAAATCCCTCCTGAAATTATTTTAAATGTTATGAAAAAATCCCTCCTAAAATCATTTTAAATGTTATGAAAAAATTAATAACTTTCTTTCATCAACAGTAGGTGAAGCACTGGAACTGGGTGAAAAGAGTGGGCTAAAGCGAATGACCCCTACCAAGGACATCGTTTTAAATTTTTCGGATTCGTGACCAAATGCCTTGATTTCGTTATCAACTCGCCGCTGTCATCGAATTTGTTTTTGATAAAATATAATTAGTTAATGTTTGATGGGTCTAACCAATAATTAAAGAGACAATATGGACTAAAAGATAAACATAGTCGATAATGGTCACACAGAGAATAAAATTTTAAAAGAATAGGCAACTGCATTCATAAAAATATTGGTAAAATGAACTTAAACCAGTTTTAACCGTTATTATTTAGTGAACCTAAACCAAATAGCCTAAAAATAATTTCACCCATCTAAAAAGGTACGTGAACCGGTTTAATATTTAACTGTTTTATAAACGATAGTTCATTTTATGTCTAGCTATAAGTTTTAATAAAATTTGAAAAATGTTTATCCATATACATAACTAGAAAAAGTTGAAGAAAACATTTGAGCGGTTTATAAGGTTCAAACCTAAAGGATAATATTCTTTTTTATGATAGAGCTAAGTTAAGAGTGATGCCCAACGAAACAAAGGACCAAACCAGTCAGATTGAAGATAGATGTTATGCATTAACTTAACATAGTATATAAATATTTAATTTTATTTTTATGATTATTAGCCGTATATTTTTTTATATTTTCGTAGTTTTAAGGTTAATTATATAACTTGAATGTACAATGGAAATTTCAGGTATAAATATTTTTGCTCTACGAAAAAACACTTTTTATTTTATTAAAAATTCGAGTCAAGACTTGCAACTTGCAATAACTTTACATTTTTACCACAATTACAATATACAATATGCAACAATAACGGTTCGAATCCTTGTTGTACATTATTAAATAGAAAGGTCGTCTAAAATTATAGTACACTCCTTTATATAAAAAACTGAAAAATATGTATTTTCCTTTAGCATATTAGAATTATCATGAAAAAAAGTGGGACGTGTTTCAGTAAAAAAATAACCACCAGATATTTAGAAATTTAAAGCTTTTATAAGTCTTAAAATTTAGTTATGTCACTTTTGGTAAAAATAATTCAAATTATACTAACGGAAAAGAGAGTACTTTAGAAAAGTGGCTGATGCTAAGTTATGCGACATCTGTTAATATTTTATCTGTCAAATCTGCTTTTGTATACGAACGACGCTTTTATAGCTTTCTTCATTATTCCACTTTCATTTTTCTTTGAATTCATCATTAACTCATTAATGAGTAAATGCCTTTCAACGATGTCATTAGAGACCAGTTAAATGAACAAATAAGAAAATTTAATAATGCATTTATATAGTATTAAAATAGAAAATGATTTTAAAACTTTTACTTATTTTAAAAAAATATATTAAAAATAACATATATAAAAACGATAATAAAATAAAAAAAACACATAAGATGGGAAAACATACAAGACCGGAAAACCCATACAAGACTGGAAAACCCATATTAAGACGGAAGAAAAGCATGACGGGAAAAGCAAGAATTTAAAAAAGGAAAAAGAAGGTTCTCATTAGCAATATGGGTTAATTGCAATTTTATAAACTAAGTATAGATTTGCTAGAAGTTCATTATACAGTTCCACTTTATATTTCTGTCATCGTTCTGAAATTGGGAGTAAGAAAAATATTTTAAAATCTTTTATATATGAAAAGGTTGTATATTATGTGTTAAAAATTCATTTAAAAAAATTAACACCTTTATATATATTTATTTTTAAATAATGATCCAAAAAAAAAAATTAAGGTAGTTGTTTTTAATTGAGGCAGAGTAATATTATTAATTAAAATTTCTAAAAATCATTGATAAATTTTAATTAATAATATAGAAATATGCCAACTTCCTTTTTGATTTGGGACTTTCTCTTTTTGGCTAGTGCCAGAACCTTCTCGTAACGCTCTTTAAGTCGATTCTTTCTATCTCGGCCTCTGAAGCTCTCCCTATTCTTAAAACGTCGCTTGGGTTTGATCCTGATTCTCTTGCCATTTTTCTTCCTTTTTCTCTTCGTTTTTAGTCTTAGCGCCGTTTTTTTCCGCCTATCCTTTAAGGCTTGCAGCAAACGTATGACTTCTCCGCCTTCTTCAGCACTGTTACTAAGGTCGTTATCGCCTAGAGAGGCAACGGAAGCTGATTTACACAATGATGTGGTGAGGGGCAAGTTAGATTCGACAATAGTATGGAATGGAAAGGACTGAAAATTCAAGTTTGTTTAAAAACATAATTTTTTATTAAAAAATTTGCGGGTAGCAAGAATATTTATTTGGTATTGGCGTTGCTTTAAAATAAAAAGTTTTCATGTAAAAAATTAAAAGATGAATTTGCAAAAATACTTGCGCATGTAATTATTAAATAAAATATAGGCCTAATATTGAATTTCCAACCTCAAGTCAAATATCCTTTCACACTTGTCAAGAACTTTCCAAGTTTAGAAAATAATAAGCTATGGGGGTTGGGGGGGGGGGGGGGGTTAAATTTAAAATATCTTATTATCTCCTCTAAAAAATGTTTTACTATTACTTGTCCGATATTATTTGGGGCCAACCTAATTGCCATTATTACACCTAATAAAAATAACCGTCTTTGCAAGACTCGCCGCAAAAATTATTTTGCCCGGTTTACTAATGTTGGTTCTATTCTTCTGGCTCCTACGGATGTTGGTAATAAAGGTGATTGTAAAGCAGCGAATCATTCTACGAATATATCACCAAAATAATCTATCGAATGTATATCTAGAAATCGTATACTACAATGCCAATAATACACTTCATGAGAAACATTTCCTCGTCTAATTTATCAAGGCGTTTCTAAACTTTGCTGACTAATATAGTCCTGCTACTAACCCTTCCTTTTCCAATTTGGAGAACTATATCAATAGTTAAGACATTCAGCCGGAAGACCCTCTTGGCTCACGAGGATTATTATCCCTAAACTTCTCAATGCCTTAAGAGTCACTGAAATCTTTAAATTCGATGGAAAACTCTAAATATATGAGTTAAAATAAAAAAAATTGCCAATCATAGTAATGACTCATGCTATACGAAACACTATCTCAATTGAGGATTCGGGATTCTGTCCCCAATCACATTCCCGATTTACGGATTCGAATCATTCAGGCTTACAAATATTGCCATCCTAGGTGCTCATTCCTCTTTTTCAGACAATTTGCTACATGAAGTTTTCTCTTTATGGTTCAATATAGATGCATCTAATATTTCCTCTTCTCTTAAACTAGGAAAAAAGATTTGGATATGCCCATGATTTTAGATGTCATTGATCACCTTTATGCCACTCTGCAATCTGTCGACCTTTCTTCCTTTACTGAACCTTGGCTTGAAATCCAACGATTAAAAAATTAAGCTTTACATTGGCTACATATAAACATTAACTTAATCATGTCATAAAATTGTGCTCTCACAAACGGGCCTATTCGGGTAGACAATGCCTCAATTGCATTGTAAGAAATGGGCGAGCTCTCTGATACATACTATGTAATAAGCTGACTGGGAAGCTTCCATAATGGAACCCACAGGAATGTTCCCTTACCATGAGAAAATAGCAAGATAATTACATGGGATTGAGTTCGATCCATTCAATTCCAAATTAGGATGGGTTGACTAGGACAAGTCCATGCATGACTTGAGTTTAAACATGGAGATAAAACTTCAACAGCTTTTTCCCTAGTATTGCCATAAAATTAAATTTTAATTTTATTTCCCCTTTAAAAAAATGGATTTGTTATGAAACAGCTAAATCAAAATTTTTTGGCCCGATTTTACCCGATGGTACAAATTATTGGGCTCTAGGAGCCCAACGCTTAGCTCTCGAATATAAGCTTACAGGGAAGAAATTTGATACCTATAATATTCACTTTATTCAGACCTGCAGGCACAGGGCGGGATAATATAATTTTAAAAATCAGGTCTAGATTAAAAAAATTATGGGTCTGGTTAAAAAACAATTAAATTACCAGGCTGGAACGTATTTTAATAAATATAAAATTATATTAGCACATCTGTTGACTATATATGTTCCGAGTAAATAATGAACTATCACGTCAAATCGATCAGAAAAACAAGATTTTCGGACGACCATCTTAAAAATGAACGAAACTTGGCATGGTAATTATTATGTTGTATATGTTAATAAAATCAAAATTTTAGAGTGCCAGCTCAACCAGATTCAAGGATATGCGCCTTCAAAGTCGAAAATAGTGCAATGCGTGATTACATTAAATCTTTTTTTTTTAAATACTTAAGATAGAGTTACAAATTATATATCATTTTATAGTCTTAAAATTTTACATTGAAAGATTTCAAGTGTTTTCTTATTTATGCTAAAAATAAAAAATTAACATTGTTAGAAAGGAATTTTTTTGGGTGTTGATATTCTCTAAAAATGTTTATTACCTTTATATTAAACGATTTAGTTCGATACCCATTTTGGATTTTTAATTTTTATTTGAATTTTTATTGTTTATATAAATAAAAAAAGATAATATAGATGGCGTTATATTCAAAAATCATTATAATAAAAATATTGGTATTAAAATTTAAAAAATCGATTAAGCATAACCAATATGATGTCCTGGGGCAATAAGTAAGGAAGCAGCCGATAAAGATATGATTGTTATTAAGACTCTATATTGTAAAATAAACATTTTAATTATATTCAAACAATTATAAATATATATCTCTTATTTTTATCGTATTCCATTTTGCGCTTATTAATAGAAATTCCTGAGGCCATAATTTGTAGATATATCCTTTCACTTGTGTATAAACTATCGTTTTTTTTTGACCAATCAATTAAGCAACCAAGTAAAATATTACTGCCTCTAACGTTTTAGCTACGCATAAAAAGCAAAAATTTTTATAAATCTGTGTTATCATGAATCAGATTTTGGTGTAGCAGCTGAATAACCTTTTCAATTCATCCCATGGAAAAGGTCCATATGACGGCCTTGGCGGAACATTAAAAGATTAGCAGCACCAAGCCTTCAGCGCACCAATTCTGGACACATTTTAACGCCTGATAATTTATATCAGTTTTCAAAACAAAACATGCCATCAGTAAATTTTACATATATAACCAACAAACAATACAATTTAGAAGAGATTAAACTCCTTGAAAGATTCAATTTACCTTGCTCCATTCCAGGAACTCGAACTTAAATCAAAAATATATTCATAATAAGAGGAATTTCAAATTAACAATATTTCAAATGCCGATAATTTCTCTTTTGCTAATATTAAAAGATTTGTAACATGTGTTTATGACGATTTTTGGTGGTTATCCACAGTACTAAAAGAATGAAATTACTGAGTAAATATATATTTTCTTTTTACACCCCATGAACCAACACCATTCTTTTACCCCACAAATGAGGAAGAGATATGGATGTCCATTAATCAAATAATAACGATTATAAATCCCATAACATTGACAGGACGTGCCTACAAATTATCGCCTCAGGAAATTCTATTAAAAAGCGCGAAATGGGATAATATTAAAACAAGTGATTTTTTTATAATTGTTTGCATATAAAATTTTAAAATATGTTTATTTTAAAATATATTGTCCTAATAACTATATCTATATGGGCTGCTTCCTTACTTATCGTCCTAGGATAGTTATAATTAATTTTAATACCAATATAATATATATTTTAATTAAAAATAATATATTTTAAAATCTTTTTAATACAACGCCATCTATAATACCTATTTTATTTAATAATAAAAATTTTTAAAAAATTATAAAAACATAAATGGCTATCGAGATTTTTTATTAAATAGTTTAATATAAAGGTAATAAACATTTTAAAGAATTTCAACACCCAAAAAAGATTCCTTCCTAAACAATGTTAATTTTTTATTTTTATCGTAAATAATAAAATACTTGGAATTTTTTAATTTTTTTCAATATTTTCCAACGTAAAATTTTAAGGGCTATAAAATGATATATAATTTGTAACTCTATCTTAAGTATTTTTTTAAAAAACAAGATTTAATGGAATCACGCACTTCGCGATTTTCGATTTTGAAGGCGTATACCTTTGGATCTGGTTGAGCTAGCACTCTAATATTTTGATTTTATTAACATTTACAACATAAATAACTAACATGCCAAGTTTCATTCGTTTTTGAGATGGTCGGCCGAATCACTGGTAGATTAAAAGTATAAATGGTCATTCTGATTTAAGATGCCACAAGTCTGTTAATGAACGAATTATTATCTATCCCACTAAATATATGTAATTATAACTAAATAATTTCTAATTTAAATAAAGCGCTTAATATTTATTCATTGCTCATTTTAATTTTCCTTTTGAAACAACTTGCATATAATTCTAAATAACAAAAATCCGAGTCTGGTTAAAAAATTCCCAAGCTAGGCTTGAAAATAAAAAATTATTAAATTCCGAGCAAAGCTTGAAAATAAAAATTTTTCAAAAGGCTAGGCTTATTAATTTTTATGCAAATCTCTGGGCTTGAAATTGTAGCCTCTTCAAGGTTTCTGACTTTTTTTCTAGATTTTAAAGTTTTGTATTAAATTTAAATTTCAGAAATAACTTTGATAATTGAAAATTTATCTATTTTATTATATTTATTTCAAATTGTTACAAGAAAATTATGGCCTTTAGATAAATCCTTAATTTGGGACTTCATATGTGTCACTTCCTTTCCAAAAAATTTAATTCGTTTCCAGTTGATATAGCTGAGAAAGAAATATTCTAAATTAACAAAATTTGTTTTTTTACCAATCATTATCTCTTCCTTTGGACATATGTCAAGCGGAAATTAAATTTTTTAAAAAATATAGGGGAAAAATAAGACTCATTACACGAGCGTCAATATGAGCGTGGAGTAGGAACAGTTTTCTTATAATTTTTTTAAGGAATAGGCATTTAAAGGGGGTAGGCTAGGGGTAAGATAAATTTATTGGGGGGGGGGGGGGGGGGGGTATCTATTAAATTTTTAAATGAAATAGGGCAATGCTGTAAAAATTAATACTTTTATTATAGACCAATCTATATATTGCATACAATCAAGACATTATTTTCCAAATAAAACTTTCTGAATCAGACATTCTAACAATATACCATAATATCATTGTAATTGAGGTTTTTAATTGAATTCATGTTCTAAAAAATAACTATTATGCATTCACAATATTTTGATATTTTTGGACCACGGGCCAGGCCTATAGGTTACTGATGATCTTATCCCGAGCCGGGCCCGGTAAATAGATATATCTAAAATTTATATTTAAAAAAATTATCTAAATATCTCAGTTTCACCAAAGAGAATTGTGTTTTTAAAAATTATGTGAAATTGATCTGAGTGGAGTGGCGTTACTTAATTGCCCAGAAAAATTACTATATGATCAGGTATAAAATTAAATGCTCAGATTAAAAGATGAACTCAGAAAAATTTATTAAATGCTCAAAAAATCATCTTGTTCTGAAATCTGTGAAATCAGTAAAAATTCTGAGCTATAATTATTTTTCAATTCTAAGCAATTAAGGAAAAAAATTCCGAGGTTTCATTTAATTCTGAGCGAAATAATCTCAAAGTATTAAATGTGTTAAAGTTTCTCTGGTAATTATATTATGTTTATTTTTTCAAATAAACTTTAATATCAAAAAGGGAGTCGTAAAAGCATTATAAAATTTTGAAATAAACCCCAAAAAATTTAAAGGACCTTACTTGAACTAATATTAATATTTGATAAATAAATATAGCAATAACCCTGCAAAGATGTACAAGTCGTTTATGAAAACCCGTTATGTTAGAGTGTGTAAGAATGTAAGCCATGTATTAGTCACTATCCAAGTCCGAATAAATTAATGATAAGCAATAATTACTTACAGGAAATGGTGGATTCCCTAAATTTAAAAGGGATAGGGGTAGAAATAAAAACTGTTTATTCGCTCCTCACTGGATTATTCCGGGGTTTGCAGTTTCGGGCTCGGTTTTGAATTATCCTAGCTCTTACCCTTTCGCTAACCCCTGTCCGAGGTATGGCGAGCCCCCTTCCGACATGTCTCGATGTTGAAGCCGTTTCTTCGTTGAATTGAAGCGTGAACCTAGAGAATAAGTAGCCAAGTATATTGTGATTTATTTTAAAGTATTTCTAATTTTTGAGTTATTTACGCTATTCGTGTAGGTATATTTTTTTCAAAGATAAACCATCTATTGCACCTTGTAGACTATCGTTCATAACCAATATAAACTATAAATTGGTTGATAAAATATTATAAGCGATATTTCAAAGTAGTAATTATAGAGAACATACTATATATTAATATAAATATGAATTAGTTTATCCATGGTATAATATACATATTTAAGAATATTTAAAAATTTGGTTATTGGAAAAATGTAAATATGACTAGAAAAAAAAATTTTTTTATAATAAATGCTATAATTTTCAAAATAAAAATTCATAGTATCTCTAAAAAAAATAATACTTATTTATTCGCTTTTACAATAGTTTTTAATCATTGTGAAAAAAATAATAAGATAAATTTTGTTCTTAGAAGATCGGGTAAAATATAAGGCTTGATATCCATTGATATAGTGCAATAGAGGGTTAAAAGATAATCTTATTTAATTTTGGAGAAAAAAATTATGGTCTTACTAAATATTAAAAATGGAGATTTATAGTACTTCTTACTTACGAATTTAAAGTATTAATGAACAAACAAAAACTATTACTTTATGTAATACTTCTAGGTGCTGTATACAACTCATTTGAGAGAATTTTATTTATTTATATAACAAACTAACCTGCTTGAGCCTTGGGGTTGTTCAAGTTTGATTAAACGTTTCGATTTTCTTAGTCCATCTTCAAATAAATTGAATTTTTAATGAAAATAGTAATATGTAATCTCTATTAGAAATCTAAGATCATGATGGTTTAGGCAATATCCTTACTCAGTCAGTAATTAATTTTGTACATATTAGCGGCCCTTAATAATTTCTAATGAATGAAAAATTCAAGACATAAATTTGCCTGATTCTAAGCCAATATGCAAAATATTCCCATTTTACAGTAATATAACGCAAATCAGATCTTCTTAATTTAATCATTATCAAACAAACTATTATGATATTTTTTTTAATTTGATGAAAATGTAAAGAAAAGATTCTGATGAGAAAATTTTTTTTAAATTTTAAATTTTGATTATTTTTCGAGAAAATTTTAAAAAAAATTAAAAATATATTTTAATTCATTAAAATATTAGCCACAAAGCTATTCATTTCCCGAAGATATAGGGCTGCGTCCAAAATCATAAAAATATAAATAAATAAATTTTGAAGAAAAAAATAACAAGCAATTTTTAATATAAAAATAAAATGGTGCAATTTCATTTTTCGGTATTTATAAAAATTTATTTTTTTAAAAAAATAATAAAAAAAAATAAATTCGAATAAAAATTTATTCAAAATTTATTTATTTAAATTTTTATAAAAAAATAGTATGTACAATTTTTAATGCTGTTAATTTTTATAAATTTACTAGCCCAAATGATTATAGCCTTTTATATTAATATATTTTTTGGTCTTTATTTCATTCAAATATGTTAGAAATATAATTAAAAGTTTCCACGTGATGTGAAATGTCTCACGGAATTTATCAGGATAATAAGTATAATATCAAATATTTTAAAAAAGTCTTTGATCTCTATAATGAATAATATATTTTCTAATTATAATTACACATGAATTCCAAATATCTATGCCTATTTCTATGTTCATCGTATCTTCAAATATTATATAATTAACTAATAATTGAATCATGTCAAGCATTTAAAATATTTTAATTATTATTTTTTTGAAACGTTTTGTTAATAATTTGTGAAAATTTGAAAATTTTAAGGATTTTTTAAAAACATTTTGGACGCACTAAGGTAAAATATTTTTATTTTCCATTTTTTATACATTGGTAAATAACGATATCTAAATTTCAATTTTTAATAATTTTTTAGATTTTTTATTGCAGCATGAAATTCGCTCATTTAAAAACAGCTTTAAGCGCATTATTAGAAAATTCGGATGAAGATGAACATGAAATTATTGTATTACCACCAGATAATATAGGAGACGTCACAGATGAAGAAGGTAACGTCGATATATATCGTCAGAACAATTAGAAGATGTCGCGGGAAATTTTGAAATAAATAGTCAGAATATGAAAAATAATATACAACCATCTAAGAAAATAAAAATTTCAAATATTAAATAGAAAAAAAATATTGAAAACTCATTTAGAAAATATTTTACCTGATATAAATATAAAATCCTCTTTAGAATTATTTCGTATGTTTTTTGATGAATACATGTATCCACTTATGTAAATCAAACGTAATTATATGCTAATCAAAAATTAAATTATTCATTTGCCATTCAAGATTTGGATTTGGACAAGGTATTATATTATAGTGGATATCTTTATATTTTTCAAGATGAAGATGCAGGTTCACATTTTATATCCAAAAAAATGTTTAGAAATCGTTTCCAAGAAATAAAAAAATATTTAAGATCCCATATTATGGAAACCAAACTATAAAGATGTATATATGAGGAAACCCAGTAAAATTTGGCGTAAAAGTTTGGGTTTTGTCTTCATCTTGTTGATATCCTTTTGCTTCTGAAATTTATATTGGGAAGGATGACAATGAAACTAGCACTCTTGAGAAAGAGTGGTGACTAAATTAACCGTGTTATTTCTAAAATTCAAGAACATGCACAATTCTTTGATAATTTTTTTTAATTCCACAAATTTATGCAGAATTCTAGGAGAATCCACATAAATCGAACCGAAAAATGTCCTTATATCAAAAACTAATTAAAAAAAGTCAAAGAAGATCTTATAAAATCTTCAGTGATGAAAAGATTGCTGTGTTATTGGATTGATAGTCATCCTGTAACAGTGGTGAGAAATTATTGAGGAATATATCTTCATAAAGTCAAGCGATGGAGTTCTAAACATAAGGTATATATTGATATCGATCAACTAAATATTATCACTTTATATAATCAACATATGAGATGTTTATTTATTGGATAGATTTTTGAATTATTATTGACCTCTACTGCGCAGCAAATAGTGGTGATCATTCTCTAACTTTCTTAATTTATGTGTTATAACCGTTTGGAGAATACTTATTACATCTGGTGGGAATATGTCTCACCTTCTTATCAGAAAATTTATTGTAAGATCTTTGATTGGAAATGCACCTAAAAAACGATACAGTCCTGGCCCATCAGATGCCCAATTGATTCAATCCGAGAGGTAGAGATAAGTCATATGCCAATTAAAGCCAATCGTTAAGGTCGTTGCAAATAGTACAATATAAATACGATAAATAGTGTGATAAATGTGACGTACTTATTCATATAAAATGCTCCAAATTATTTCACCAAAGAATGAACTTGTTAACTCCCTAATGTTTGATTTTAGAAACATTCAAATAATCATATAATACTTTTTTTGAAATTGTGATATATAAACATGTTTTTTATAATGTATTTAAAGAAAATTAAATTTTTTTATGTTGGTAATTAACGCATAAGGTATAAATTTAAATAAAATATTTAATTCTATAATTTCTTAGGGATCTTCTAGATAGGACTTTCGAGTAAAAATAAACAGTTAATTTAAGTTTCGTGTGTTTATTATTTTTCCATCGTCAAAAAAACGACTAGTTTGGAAAAGGCTTATGTTAATTACCTGACAAAAAAACATATACCCTATTATAAGGCCCGCGAGTATTGGATTTCACTTAAGATCGACCAAAACCCAATATGATTTTCCAAGATAAGAAGCCTGGAAAACAGCTATAAGTCATTAATAAATTACTTAAGTATAATAAACAGGCAACCAGCCATATTTTACCATCGCTATTCACGTAAAAGAAAATTTCACTTAGATCGTAATATCTTGTGATACGGTTATACGGAGAATATTTTATTAAATAGTGCTATAAATGTAACTAGATTCTAGTATATTTATAATATTTAGTGTAAAGTCCAGAATCCAAACAAATATCTGGATATCATATTGAAATACAAACAGTCAATAAGGAGAACGGAGCTATACACAGGCAGGGTTGCCATGTCTCCCCCCATCAGCGGGAGACTCCCGCAATTTTTTAGTTTACATGCAGACATCTCTCTCCCGCAAAACTACCGCAATTGAAAATCTCCCGCAAAAATCTACTGCAATTTTTAAATTTCTCCCGCTAATTTTTTTAGTATTTTAACGTTTCTATTATATAAATAATAATTTTGAGACATTAATTGATTATTTTTATATTTTTAAAATAAATTTTAAATATTTATTCGAAAAACATGTCTAGTTTGTAAATTTCTTTCTATCCTGTTTTATTTTTATCCATAAATAAATCCACATCATTTCATTCATATAAGTCAGTACAGGGGAGTATATCAACATCGATTGCAATACAAAAATATTCTCAAAAATAATGAATAATACAGATGCAACTACATTTGCGGAAATCGTATACATCTATCATGTAGTTCAACATTCACAGAGCTATATCATCACAATATGAGTTGAATCTTTTTCTCATGATATTTAGCGACTCCAATATAAGTGCAAACCTTACTTGTGGTAGAACAAAAATGAGCAAGACTATCACAAGTGTTTTAGTAGCTCAATCCTAGAGGTTAATTCTAGACGATTTGAAAGATGGGCATCCATATGCAATTATAACAGATGCATCTAATAAGAGAAATATTAAAACATTTCCCTCGATCCTTCGCTATTTCAACAAGAATAAAGATTAATAATGGTCTTTTTAAATGAGAGAATTTCATGCTGGCTAAAAAAATAAATAATTAAAACTAAAAATTGAAATTTAGATTATTTGCCATTTGAAAAATGGAAGATAAAAATATTTAACATTTGGGAAATGGATACCTATGAGGCTAATATTTAAAATGGTTATAAAGGATATGAGTTATTAGAATATATTATTTTTTGAATTAAAATTTTATTTAAGCTAAAAGGTTTTTAAAGTTTTATTTGCTTGAAAAAATCATAAAATTTGCAAATTTTAAAAGCAAAGATATAGTGATAGGCCAGAACATTTTTTAATTTATAAATCAAAAACAAAAACAAAAGAAATATCTAACGCCAAGGTTGATGTACCAATAATCAAACATTGACCATTAATGAGTGTTAAAACATAATTAGAAATTAACTAATTTTCACATCATATTTCAGAGATCAATACAGTCCCATTTCAAACTAAAAAAATATCTGGCAGTGCAATTTTTGTACAAAATATTTTATTGAACTGAGCAGCCAAATTCATGTATTTTAAACTTAAAATAGTGCAAATTTAAGACTTTTCTTTCACAATAAATCATCATTGGTCAGGCCCAGAGTTGCTGCGAGCTATCTTTTTTAGTAACTATAACTAATAGCGCGCTACGTAGCTACTTTTTAAAAATATAATGAATATAACTATAAACATGAAAATTTAAATATAATATCATAATTAATTATAATTTTTATGATTTATTATTTAATTTTAATATTGAAATATATTTCCAATTTATAATTTATATCTTGAATTTGTATTATAAACCTAAATCACGTGTAAATTAATTAAAATGTCATAGCAAATGGATATCCAAAACGTTGAAAGTTAGTTAAACGATGATATTAATGAAATGGAAGATACCCGTGAAGAAAATGTTCTTAATAACAATAATACAAATTTCCCATTTCCAAAATTAGAAAAATATTTTGATATTAATATAAAAGTCAAAACTGGCTACAAATTTATTTGCTAAAAATGTAAAAGAAATATA